ATTCGCGGCTGTTGTCGCTCTTCTCGGGTGTTTGTGGATCCAGCGTTCTTGTTCGTCGTGGTCTGTTTTAAGTAAATTTTTTTTCTTGCTGTTTGAAGTCGGCACGCGCGAGATGAACACGTAGAAAAATAAACGTTCAGTCAGTCAAGAGTTTTGAGAGGAAGGAAAAGTCGGCCCTGCCAGCCCTGCCCTACTGCGCACGCGCAGTAGTTGCTTCGTTTACCACACGATAGATGGCGCTTGGCTCTCAGCATTATCAAATTTGGCAATTTTCGCCACACATCTCTAATTATGCTACAAAATGTGGGTCTGAATATTATTTAACAAAACTTTTAGGAAACATTCGCCGGCTATTGATTGTTTACGATCGCGGTGCTCGTGAGGTAGGCTCTTACCCAATAGGCGACGTGGATTCGGCTGACGTGCTCCATTTCTGCGGATGCATCGTAGTGAAAAGGCAGAGCTTTCGAAGGAAAGAAGTCGCAAAAGAGTCCAGTTTTCTTTTAAAAGTTCTATAGCAAATATTTTTTTTTGGCTCCCTAGTTTTGTGTTTTTGTGTTTCTTTTCACACCTTTTACGACGTGCGGTGGATGAAATTAGATTTTAAAATCATTTCATGGTCCCTTTAAGTAGACGGTTTTGTACTGGCGTGGCTCAAGTTAGGTTTTTGTTGTCGGGGCCTCCCATATAAAGTCTATCATGACTCTGCCTGGTGCCGGAATGGTTCTCAAAACCTTTCCTTTGCATAAATTTCCAATATTCCATATTTCAATGCAATAGAAATAGAAAAATGTGTATGTATGTTGCTTGAAAATTATTCTGGGATGTGCATGCATATATTTTTGCTATATTTTCACATTTAGAAACAACAAATCACTTTTAGACATTTGTTTGACCTCCGTGACCTGCTCCAAAACCTACTTCTACGGCTGCAAAACTTATTTTTGCTGCTCCCGAGCTGCTCTAAAGCGAGCGTTTTACTGCTTCAAAACTGCTCCAAAGTGGGACTTTTGCTGCTCCCAGCCCTGATACAAAAAGCTCTAGCCCGCTTCCACCCCTGTATGTATCAATGCACAGTATCCACTCCCGAAACCGTTCCAGTCACCTGCGACCAGTCCCACTTACGCTCGCTCTTTACTGCCGCTTCTTCCTCTTTTCTCTCGTTCCCCTGCGCATCCGCGGGACGGGCCCGTTCGGTGCCGCGCTATCCCTCACAATATCATGTATCAATGCACAGTATCCACTTCCGAAACCGTTCCAGTCACCTGCGACCAGTCCCACTTACGCTCGCTCTTTACTGCCGCTTCTTCCTCTTTTCTCTCGTTCCCCTGCGCATCCGCGGGACGGGCCCGTTCGGTGCCGCGCTATCCCTCACAATATCATGTATCAATGCACAGTATCCACTTCCGAAACCGTTCCAGTCACCTGCGACCAGTCCCACTTACGCTCGCTCTTTACTGCCGCTTCTTCCTCTTTTCTCTCGTTCCCCTGCGCATCCGCGGGACGGGCCCGTTCGGTGCCGCGCTATCCCTCACAATATCATGTATCAATGCACAGTATCCACTTCCGAAACCGTTCCAGTCACCTGCGACCAGTCCCACTTACGCTCGCTCTTTACTGCCGCTTCTTCCTCTTTTCTCTCGTTCCCCTGCGCATCCGCGGGACGGGCCCGTTCGGTGCCGCGCTATCCCTCACAATATCATGTATCAATGCACAGTATCCACTTCCGAAACCGTTCCAGTCACCTGCGACCAGTCCCACTTACGCTCGCTCTTTACTGCCGCTTCTTCCTCTTTTCTCTCGTTCCCCTGCGCATCCGCGGGACGGGCCCGTTCGGTGCCGCGCTATCCCTCACAATATCATGTATCAATGCACAGTATCCACTTCCGAAACCGTTCCAGTCACCTGCGACCAGTCCCACTTACGCTCGCTCTTTACTGCCGCTTCTTCCTCTTTTCTCTCGTTCCCCTGCGCATCCGCGGGACGGGCCCGTTCGGTGCCGCGCTATCCCTCACAATATCATGTATCAATGCACAGTATCCACTTCCGAAACCGTTCCAGTCACCTGCGACCAGTCCCACTTACGCTCGCTCTTTACTGCCGCTTCTTCCTCTTTTCTCTCGTTCCCCTGCGCATCCGCGGGACGGGCCCGTTCGGTGCCGCGCTATCCCTCACAATATCATGTATCAATGCACAGTATCCACTTCCGAAACCGTTCCAGTCACCTGCGACCAGTCCCACTTACGCTCGCTCTTTACTGCCGCTTCTTCCTCTTTTCTCTCGTTCCCCTGCGCATCCGCGGGACGGGCCCGTTCGGTGCCGCGCTATCCCTCACAATATCATGTATCAATGCACAGTATCCACTTCCGAAACCGTTCCAGTCACCTGCGACCAGTCCCACTTACGCTCGCTCTTTACTGCCGCTTCTTCCTCTTTTCTCTCGTTCCCCTGCGCATCCGCGGGACGGGCCCGTTCGGTGCCGCGCTATCCCTCACAATATCATGTATCAATGCACAGTATCCACTTCCGAAACCGTTCCAGTCACCTGCGACCAGTCCCACTTACGCTCGCTCTTTACTGCCGCTTCTTCCTCTTTTCTCTCGTTCCCCTGCGCATCCGCGGGACGGGCCCGTTCGGTGCCGCGCTATCCCTCACAATATCATGTATCAATGCACAGTATCCACTTCCGAAACCGTTCCAGTCACCTGCGACCAGTCCCACTTACGCTCGCTCTTTACTGCCGCTTCTTCCTCTTTTCTCTCGTTCCCCTGCGCATCCGCGGGACGGGCCCGTTCGGTGCCGCGCTATCCCTCACAATATCATGTATCAATGCACAGTATCCACTTCCGAAACCGTTCCAGTCACCTGCGACCAGTCCCACTTACGCTCGCTCTTTACTGCCGCTTCTTCCTCTTTTCTCTCGTTCCCCTGCGCATCCGCGGGACGGGCCCGTTCGGTGCCGCGCTATCCCTCACAATATCATGTATCAATGCACAGTATCCACTTCCGAAACCGTTCCAGTCACCTGCGACCAGTCCCACTTACGCTCGCTCTTTACTGCCGCTTCTTCCTCTTTTCTCTCGTTCCCCTGCGCATCCGCGGGACGGGCCCGTTCGGTGCCGCGCTATCCCTCACAATATCATGTATCAATGCACAGTATCCACTTCCGAAACCGTTCCAGTCACCTGCGACCAGTCCCACTTACGCTCGCTCTTTACTGCCGCTTCTTCCTCTTTTCTCTCGTTCCCCTGCGCATCCGCGGGACGGGCCCGTTCGGTGCCGCGCTATCCCTCACAATATCAAGGGTAGCATTCGCACAAATCTGTTCTAAATGGTTATAAGTCAGTTGTAGGCGTGTCATGGGTGCAGCATGGTAAAAGTCGATAGGATAAAACAAAGTATAAAGTCTACAAGACTGACGAGGAACGTGCGAATAGATGTGACTGAGTAGTTCTGGGGAATCAATTATACCATTTACAATCTTATACAAATATGTCAGTTCACGAATTGTTCTCCTGTTGTGTAACGAGTCTAACTTCACGAGTTCACAAATCCTCTCATAACTATAGAAATAATTTGGTTGAAAATAACGATCAAACAAAACACGAACAAACCTACGTTGAACGCTCTCAAATAAACCTGAATTTGTCACTCCAATAAAGTTCCAGACAACTGAGGCATATTCAACACGACTACGCACCAGTGAAGAAAACAAACGTAAAATACAAAGTGGTTTAGAAAAATCGCGTGTCACTCGTGTAATGGCTTCCAGCACTCGAAAGGAAGCATTCGTAATTGTGGTCACGTGATGGTTGAAATTAATTGCAGGATCCATAAAAACGCCTAGATCACGGATGACCTCAACGCGAGTAATATTGGTGGAATCTAATACAGAGGGAAAACTCAGAATTTTACGTTTCCTAGAAAAGGACATAACTTTCGTCTTTGACTCGTTTAAGAGTAGATCATTTGAAAAACACCACGCCGAAATAGAATCTATATCGCACTGAAGACATTCACAATCGTCAACCGTTTTAACCGCTGTAAACAACTTAATATCATCAGCAAATAACAAAAACCGCGTGTGTTTAATACAGGAAGTTAGATCATTTACAAAAACTAAAAACAGCAAAGGACCGAGGTTACTGTCTTGATGAACCCCAGAAGTAGATAAAAAAGGAGCAGATAATCGGCCGGATACTCGCACAAAGTTCAGCCGATGAGATAAGTAACTATCGAGGAGACGACAGTACTTAAGGGACAGACCGTAACTACAGAGTTTACTCAACAGTAATCGGTGATTAACTTTGTCGAAAGCTTTGCTTATATCAAAGTAGACTACATCCGCTTGTCCTCCGCTATGGACGGATGGTACAAGAACCGACTTTGGCTAACGAAAGTGCTAAATGGAATGGGAAATCGTGATCGCTTCGCTGTAGATGCTATTTCGTTTTAACCGACTTCATTATAACCGGTCTCGACAGTAAAAGTGTGCGTGGCGGCACGCCACGGAGTGGAAGAGAAAGTCGAAGTGCCGGATTCTCGTCCCGTGCTTTTCAAAATAAATCGGTTCATGAGCGGACATGGGACTGGTCGGACGTCTGTACAGATTTGGTGCCCCGGACGTGATTGTATCTGAAAAAAAGCTCCTGGTTTCACGACTTTTTATTGTGGGAGCCTTTTTGTTTGACAACTCTCGCCGCCTCGGTGGCTCCGAGGCGAGAGCGCCGGCCTACGGATCCCCAGGTGGCGGGTTCGAATCCCGACCGAGGTGCCCGCAATTTGACAGAGGCTTATTGCGGAGAAGGCGCCGTGTAACCGAGCTTTCGGTTGCACGTCAAAAGATCCCCAGGTGGTCGAAATTAATCCTCAGTCCTCCGCTGGGGCGTGCCAGATGCCCGTCGTAGGTTTGGCACGTAAAACCCCCAAATTGTGTGTGACAACTCTCATGAGAGGGTAAATTTTGGAGTGCTCCTCATGCTGCCCACCCTTTTTTTCAGCCCAGTGCAGAGGAAGGAATCTTTCTGATGGAGGCCCTGCTCAACTTTGAGACGCAGGTCTGCCACCAATCTGTCTCTCTATTTAACCACATTTTAGTTTCTTTCTATTAGTACTACTGCATATTCTTCCAGGTCCACGCACAATACATCCAAAGAGAGACTCAATTAAAAAGTTTTGTGGGTGACACAATTATGCGAAGGACATAGTTTTGTGTTTAATCGAAGGGACACTAACGTACATGTCGAGATTTTTCTAAAAATGACACTTTTCGGTTTTTCATTTGTTTTGTTATTGATTTGATGGTGAATCCTTATTTAGATTAAAACTTGGTGAATCTTTGTCTGGAGGCTGTTTTTATGCTGGACAGTGCAATGACTGCCCGGGTCATATCTTTGATATTTCTGAAAGAAATATATATGAAATCCATGGTCTTGCAAGGAAAGTTTAGCTATATGTAAATGCCATAGCTAAATTTTTCCCAAAGATATAATATTGAGAAGCTCGAGGCGTAGCCATTTCCCAGATTTCACTATTGGAATTCGCACAAATGCCAATGTCGCACCAAAGGAGGCACATAGACATTTTCAAATTTATTTTATAGACAATTTACAACACGCGCACCAAATATTAAAAATTACAATTATATATTTATATGCAAAAATAATTACGAAACACATAAATACATTTTAGAGACACTTTCTAGGAAATCGCGTACCGCCGCCGATTCGCCGTTTCCCACGTGGTCCGTCAACAACCCGAGTCCAGCCTGGTTCTTTCACGGGAGCGGGATTCCGCTCCCAGTTTATTGGTACAATAGCACACAACGCTACAAAACACTCAATCTAAACTACAAATACAAGGTACAAGACACAAATATTTACAAACGCACATTAAGCCCAAAGCTAAACACAAAGAGGGCCCCCAGGCCTCGTATCCTGCGATTACCCTAGATCCAGAGCCGTAAATGTAGAGAGTTTGGCCATTCGTTGGGAAGCATAGGAGACGAATGGGGAGGCGCCATTGGCCAAAAGCGGGCTGGGCATGTTCCAGGGCGTCTTCAGAAATTCGAATGTGACCAACCAGAAGCCGGAAATAATACCCTGGTGGTGGTCGCGAGAAACAAACCTGATAACTGCATTGGAGTAACTCTCAATGGCTGAAAATATGGTACACGTGATGTTTCAATCACGTTAATCCAAAATGATGGTGGAAGGGTGCGACTAGCGGAACGATCGACATGATCAGTACGCCAAGCGCCCAGGGCCGGGAATCTGCCGTCCGAACGGTCACACTCTGTCCGTGCAAACAGAGTTGCGCGGCGCATTCGTTTCTTACATCTTTCTGCATGATCATGATCAAAACAACACGTGCACCCTATTTTCAACCACAAAGAGTTACTACACTTCGCTCTTACGCGTTTATTAAAACCATATACGAACATAGACTTTTGATCAGAACTGTTTGCCGCTACCACCGCTAGGGGATTCTTTTCGGCTTCTGGTTGGTCAAGAGAGCATGCCAAGCCCTCTTTCCGACTCTGCCGCACGCCCTGACTCTGCCCGGGCCTCCCATTGACCAAACTCTCTCAATACACGGCTCTGCCTAGATCCGGTCGCCGCCCACTTGCCTGCTAGTGCCTGCGTCTCGGTCTCGTCCGGAGTTCTAAGAGGCCTCTCGCCCCCTGGCCCACCGAGTATATATCTCGATCGATGGGCGATGAGGTTTCTCCTCGCCCGCCACAGGGGTGCCTGCAGCGCCATCCAGTGGCTAGGAGAGAAAGCGGCACGTCTGGAGCCGAATTCGAGATCTCGATCGACCCCGCGGCGACACGACCATGTGATCGTGTCTGAGGTGAGGCAGCTACTTAGCTGCCTCGCGGCAACTGTGCCAGAGTGGTTTGATAGGCGCCCCCGTAAATGCACGGTGCGCCATAACTTTCACAAATTATTTATCAACAAACTACTTTATGCAAACGTCACAAAATATATCAAAACGTGCATCTTGAAACGCAGCATTTGAATACTACATAAAAGAAATTTGTTTAGCAATCATTGTAGTTTCGTTATTAATGCAGAAACTTGTGTAATTTCTCTAAAAGGCTAAGAAGCAAAAAGTTTAGCCTCCTTAGGGACTTCTGGTCAAATCTTTGCGACGTCATGTTCTGTTTTTTTTTTTTTTTTTATCTTTTATTCTTTTGATGTAGTCATATAAACACGGCTGTTTTTGAGATTTTGTGTTGTCCGTTTTCTATTCTTTCTAGTCACTTGATTTTAAGTTGTGAAGACTTTTTACGCTCTGCAATAGAGCAGCATCGTTTTACAAATTTGGTCGGTTCAAGAAAATCTTCCTTTGGAGTGGACGTCGTGTGGCAAAGCCCCTCTAACGAAGACAAGCCAGCTCAATTTGAGTGAATGTTTGGTGTTGCTTTTCTCAATTGGAGGCTATATGCTACTCAATATTCTACCATCACAAATGTAAAAGTCACTGCGACAAGTTAAAGGAGAGTTTAGACGAAATAAGAGATAATGTTTTTTGAATATTGATGCTAAATTTTTTTACTTTTAGAGAAATTATTTAAGTTTCTGCATTAATAACAAAACTACATTGATGACTAATCAAATATTTTTTTTTGTGTATTGGCACGCTGCGTTTCAAGACGCACATTTTGATATATTTTGCGACGTTTTGCATAAACTTGATTGTTGGTAAATAATTTGTGAAGCTTTCTAAAACAATTTTTTTTTTTGCGTGTTTCGTAATTATTTTGGCATATACAGTCGAACCTCGATATAACGAACTTCAATGTAACGAAATCCTCGATTTAACGAAGTATTTTATTTTTCATAATTTCTTGCCCATAGACCCCATGTATTTTTAGTCTCTATATAACGAAGTCTATTTTGCTGCTATTTCAATATAACGAAGCGCCATTGCCATAGAAGGCAATAAATAAATCAACTCTAAAAAACAACTTCGCAAAAAAATTGTGGTTAAAAAAAAAAAAGTGAAAGCCGTTTACAAATCCCTGTAACGCCGAATTGGAGCGCAGCTCTTGAGGAGGAGTGAAGGGTACTGAGGGGAGGGTAGACCCCTCCCCCTTCTCCTCCTCCTCCCCTCATTCTTTAATATGCTCCGGGGGGGGGGGGGGGGGGTCACGTGACCTCGGGGGGGGGGGGGGGGGGTCACGTGACTTCGGGGAGGGGGTCACGTGACCTCGGGGAGGCGTGACCTGGGGGTCTCCTCAAGGTCACTTGACCCCCAAGGTGACCCCCACGGGGGGTCACGTGACCTGGAGGGGTCACGTGACCTCAGAGGGGTCACGTGACTTGGGGGGTCACCTTGGGGTCACGTGACCTTGAGATGACCTTGGAAGGTCACGTGACCTTGGGGAGGAGACCACGTGACCTCGAAGGTCACGTGACCTCAGAGTGGTCACGTGACCTCAGAGCGGTCACATGACTTGGGGGTCACGTGACCTTCAAAGGGTCACTTGGGGTCACGTGACCTTGAGATGACCTTGGAAGGGGTCACGTGACCTCGAGAGGTCACGTGACGTTGGGGGTCACGTGATCCCAAGATGACCCCACGTGACCCCCAAGGTCACGTTACCTTAGGGGTCACGTGACCTTCAGGGGGTCACATGACCTTGAGATGACCTTGGGAGGGGTCACGTGACCTTGGGATGACCTTGGTTACGCCGACGGCGACAACGACGCCAACGGCGACGCCGACGGCGACGCCGCTCAAGCCGGGAACGGGCCCCTAAGAGCTGCGCTCTAAAAATTATGCGCAAACGCGAGCGTTGATAGGTTACTTCACGGGGACAGGCCTTCCAACGTTCCTAGGCTGCCCGAGGATGCGGCGCCGGTAGTGCCGGCGAGGCATGCGGCAAAGCGGATTCCGCGAGGCTGGCCAGAAATTGCCGAGCAAAAAGTTAACACGGCATAACAGCATCACCACTGACATTCACTGATCATCATAGTCCACTGTACCGCGGGTAGCGCGGGAGCCAACTTCAGCGGGGGAGCGACGTGATGGCACGACCAGCACGACCGCGCGACCGCACAGGCAGTGCCATCTAGGAGAAGACCGAAAAGACCGATTATCGTCTTGCGAGCGTGATGTAAAGCAAAGGCGCAAGCACACTGTGGGCGCAAGGGGGCAAATAAACTGTGCGGTCAAGAGTGCTGTGTAGGTTGGAAACAGTGGCACCGCCTAAACTAAACAGCTTTATTTTTTAACCGGGCGGTTCACTTACGTGCTTGCTGCCATAAGGAAACGTAAAGTTCTTTCTTTGGATGAGAAAGCAAACGTTTTGGACGCCATCTTGAAGAAACTGCCGAGATCACGAGCACTCGGGAAGTGCTCGACGCAATGGACGTACTGAGGAGGTACTATCGCGGACAATATGAGCTGAAACAGCGCTCCGGCCGGCACACGGTACTACCTGCGCCGCCTGTCGCCTTGCTCCGCACACATGGCGCACCCTGAGTCCGAGATATTTTCTCACTTGCGCTCGCTGCGCCACTGCGCTCTTCCGGCCGTCTGCAAGCGAGTCGGTGGGTGCGACAACGGGCATGTGTGGTAGGGCGGCGGGGGAAGAAAAGATTACACTTGTCTGACGAAAATAATCCCTGGAGAAGGGGAACAAGGGGGACAAAGGACTAACATAAACCTCCAAACACAGCTAGGTGACTGGTGCGCGACCGAAAAAATCCGCCTGGTCCAGCTCGCTTGCACCTTTGCATTTAATTGCATTATAATCATACACTTGTCGCTTCTTTTTTCGTATTGATTTACTTTACTCTATCGCGCAATATCCCTTAGAAAAAACGCTGACTGGTGAAGAAAAAGCATTGAAGTGTCTTAAATTTCAACTGCGATTACCGTTTTTGAAAGTCATATCAAAATACGTTGCAGGTTGTTTTTGTTTGATTATAGGCGCATGCACAAAGTGGGACATCGTGTTTATTTTTTTTTTTTCTGTTTCACTGATCACAGCTGTTCAAAAAGCGGTAAGCATACATGTTATTGAGAAGGTTTTGTAACCTTGATTAGTATGAAAAGGTTCAAAAATATTGTTTCTTTATTACTGAGCGCATGTGTTTGTTTGAGCAAAACAAGTTGCTGACAAGACACCAGCTTTTTTGTTTACGAATTCCTAGTCTTAATAAGGTGGGACAAACAGTCATATATCTGTCAAGAGAAGGAGATTGAAGCTTAATCGAAAGAATATTTGCAGAGGACATTGTCAGACACAAAAGTATAATAGTCGGCGTGGAAATCCAACTGCACAATACAAGAAGATCGGGATGAAGGAGGCACCTCTCAAAAATATGCGTGGTTAACGGCGTCAAACAGTGTGTCGCAACCGTGGCATCAAGCTTTGTTCCAATCGGCAGAAGTCCAGTTCAGGGAATCCTGAGGCGCAGTAAAAATTGCAAAATAATTTAATACCGCGTCAATTTTTCCCTGACCCGCTTCCACGGCTCTCATCCTGTCTGGTAAGAAATCACAGAGCGCGGCCACGAAGTCTGGCTCAGCCCCGAAGCCAATCCCATTCACCTCCCACTGCTTTCCACAATTTGTAGGCAGTGGCGCGGTGGAGGGGACGCCGCGACATAGCTACCTTGATGCGCCTTCAAATGTTGTAGATGATATTCAGATCGGCTCCTTTTAGGGGCCAAGGCAGCTTCGTCAGGCAGCGCTCCTCGAGGAGGTACGAGCGTGACAGCGCATTTTCCACTTCGGCGCTTTCTTGAAATGCAATGAAATGCATGTTAGATGGAAACGTGAACATTGGGCTAGCAGACGGCCGGAAAAGCGCAGTGGCGCAGCGAGCGCAAGTGATAATTTATCTCGGCCTCAGGGTGAGCCGTGTTTAGGGAGCGATGCGACAGGCGGCGCAGGTAGTACCGTGCACAGGCCGGAGCGCTGTTTCAGCTCATATTGTCCGCGATAGTACACGGCGTCGCATGGGCAGCAAGATGCCGTGCAAGCGCTCTGGGCGCTCAAACGCCGTATGACGCCGCCGACGCCGCTGCTACTGTCAGACGAGGCGCAAGCAAAACTCGCGAACTACTTTGCCCCTAAATAAATGTCATTTTCGGTGAGTTTTCATACCCGTAAAATGTTTCGGAATTTTTTTTTTCGCATGCTAAAGCCAAATTTTGATTTAGCGAAATTTCAATGTAACGAAGTAAATTGCGAATTTTACCGACTTCGTTACATGGAGGTTCAACTGTACGTAAATATACAATTGTAATTTTTCATATTTGGTGCGCACGTTGTAAATAGTCCAAAATAAATGAAAAAAAGGTTAACTATGTGCCTGCTTTGGTGCAATATTGGCTCCTGTGCCAATTACCATGGTGAAATCTGGGCAATGTCCATGCCTCGAGCTTCTCAATTTGATATCTCTGGGAAAATTTTAGCTACGGTGTTCACATATAGCCGAATGTTCCTTCCAAGAACATGACTTACACATATATTTCTTACAGAAATATCAAAATTATGATGCAGACAGTCATTGTGCAATCCGACATGGAAACACTGTGGAGTACTTCTATTGCGTCGATACAAGTGTACAATTAAGCTGCGAAAGGGACTCCTCTAATCGTTCTGTGGCTCTTCGGGAATGCAGGATCCGACGATCCTGTCGTACGCCCTCTCTTGCATCTCCACCCTGGGAGTGTTCCTCACACTGGCTCCGGGGGTCATGCCCAAGGTGCTCAACAAGGCAAGTTCCTCCCTACATACACACATCCTGAGTGAACGACCATCCACGATCAAGATGGAGAAAAATATGGGGTGGGCAATCTATAGACCTTTTTCGTGTGCTCTTGTTACCTTCCCCCAGCCACCTAACAGGTGTATCCGGTATGGGCGACGAGAAAATAATGAAACATTTCAACCCGTCAAAACAAATGGAGGGGAGGGGAAACGAGAACATGCGACGGTGGCACTTATATCCTAAATGTCTTCTATCGGTGTGGCAACGGAAAAAAAAAATTCTCGCCCATACTGGAAGTGACGACAATTCAAGGGTGACACCCTCGTGAAAAGAGTCTATAGGGATGCGACGGGAGAATCGTACAGCAGTCAACACGCGGGCACCTACTAAGAGCTCGCGTGACTTGGGGACCGATGGTCCCAACTTGTGGGTGTTTGTGCAATTGCTTAATTGCATCGGCGACATGTCCTCGAATGGTCCACGTCGGATTGTCTCTCGGGAGCCATCTCGACATGCTGAAAGTAGCATAGCTTATTCGAGAGTCTACGACATCCCGGTGCAGTTGCACGATTGTGCGACGTAACCGCCCCGGCAGCCTCGTGCTTGGCAGCTGCCGGCTGTCTGGTCCGTGTCGTTCAGCTGGTGCAAAGGGGGAGCGTGGGGATGCAACCCGAGAGGGTGTGGCTTTAGTTTTCTTGGCAGGACGGTTCTCTCCTCGTATATAATGAATTATCATTTTTTTTTTTATATTTACGAGTACCGTTTATTGTTAACAGGGGCTGTAACGGGACAAAAGAAAAAGCTCAGCGAGCTTTTTCTTTTGTCCCGTTACGAAACGACAGTTTTACTAAAGTGAAATTGATTATAAAACGTGGAAATGGAGAAAAAAATGTTCAAAGTGCTCAACCCTTTACCTTTTCTTTAGCACCAATAAAGAAAAAAATATTTATAAAAAAAAGCAAAAAAACTATTCAGCGTAAACAAATAAATCTTTCTGGGAATACCCTCTAGATGTTGGTAGATCTGGCATTTTTCAATATAAAAATTTTTTTGCAGAAATATTTGGGCAGGGTAGTAAAGACTAGTGGGAACTTGGGACAGAGTGCGATCGTCTTGCGTTCCCCCCCCGGCAGATCTTCACGTCGGCGGCGTTCTCGCTGCCCGGCCAGAGCAAGAACACGAGGAGCCGAGCCGTGCGCAACCTCCGGCGCCACGCCTGCTCGGGCCTGGTCAAGCTCTGCAAGCTCCACCCGCGCCTCCTCATGGTAGGCTCCCCCTCTGGGCAATCTCGCGACCGGTGGCCTCCTGTGCAGGCAGAAGCCTTCACATCGCTGGTTCTGAGAGTAGGAAAACAGATGTTAGGTTAGGCGTGTTCGTTTTGCCACGAGCTGATGGGACCAATCAGAAGCGTATCATCATGGTGTTCTATCATCCCTGAACCAGTCATAAACAGAAAAGACCCAATCCCTTGCGCTTTTGGTGCTGCTTGATTGCTCCCTCTTCCTCGTAGCGTCGGCTGCGTCTGGACTTAAAAAGACACTGTGAGGAAAAAGAAAGTTCTTTTAAGCGCAGCTCTTAGGGGCCCGTTTCCGGCTTGAGTGGCGCCAACGTCGCCGTCGGCGTAACCGCGAGGTCACGTGACCCCCCCAAGGTCACGTGACACCCCTGCATCACATGACTTCCCCAGGTCACGTGACATTCCTGATGCCACGTGACCGCCCCTAAAGGTCACGTGACCCCCCCCCCGAGGTCACGTGACCCCCCTAAGGCCACACGACCCCGCCTGAGGTCAGTGACCTCAAGGAGTCATCTATCCCTGAGTACGCTTCCACCCTCCTCCTCAAGAGCTGAGCTCTAATCCGGCGTCACAGGGAATTGTAAACAGCTTTTATTTTTTTTAAAGGGCATAAATGGGACACATATTTATTTTCATAATTTTTCGGCTAGATTTTTTTTCCGCAATATTGATGTTGTTGGATGCACTTTAGGTGGAGGTCACAGCCCGCTCGAAGTCCCACCTACAGATCAGTGGCCCCCCCATTACTACTCGACTGGATTGGCTGCTCGACTGAGCAGGCTAGCAAGTGTAGTGTCTCCCTTTCGCGTCATCCGGTGTGTCTAGTTTGGAAGCCTAACGCGGCCTGCTAGTGGTGCAAGCAGACGAGCTGCAGCCTCCGGCGTGGTGTCCTATTTCACCACTGCCTGTCATCATCTGCAATGCCGTGGGGCGCGGACACGAACGCTGCGTGTCGGCGTCCGTTTTCGCCTCCGTCCGTCTGCTGTTCATCCCCCGTCTAAAAACTTCTACAACGCTCTTAAGACGCGACCAGGAAAGCGGTGTTCTAATGTTCCGTCATGCACGAGCCACAGCCCAATACAAGCGCCTGTCAGCATTACCGATGGGTGTAAAGCGACCGAGAAAACTAGAAAAAATCAACAAAATAAATATGCAGTTTTTACAGCTTTACAGTTCTTGTTATTTTCTCCACGTGGCGTCCGCGAGCAAGATGGGGGAGCGCCATGACGCACCATTAAAATGCGACGTAAAAATATTTGCTTTGGTAGGCCAGGTGCACTGCAAAACTTGAAAGCATTGCCTTTCGAGGCGCAATGACAAAAGCATACCTAGAGAAACTTGATGCGAGCCGAACGCCCAATTTCCTCCAGCCAACGGCCCCCAAAATCTTAGCTGTGTAGGTTTCTTCTTGGTATTAAAACCATAGTTCCAGTTACGACGATGTCACAATTCACAGAGCGGTGGGGTTGCTGTTATGGGAACCAACATCTTTATTCAGCATCAACATGCATAAAGAAAGAAATCAAGCCTGATCAATCAAGATAGTTGATCTGGGGTGCTAGGCTTAGGCCAGACCCGTTACGAGAACAGGTATCCGCACAGCGCTTCTGAATGCACATAGGTACTTGCGACAGTTGTTTGGCGCAAACTACGTCGGTTGACGAGATCTTCCTCTAAACACCTCTGCAAACTCAAAGCCACTCACACTCATAAAAATTGACAAGCTCAATGAGCTTCGCTCGTTCAGCAGTGTACAAATGCCAGCAGCCATCTTTGTTAACGTTTCAAACCAAAGCGAGAGAAGTAATTTCAGAATACATTTGAAAACAATAATGACTCTACCTTGATTAGTGCTCCTCAAACAAAAAAAAAAATAGTCGATTAAAATACTATTACTATTTCTATATATTTTCTTCTTTTTTTTCCTTCGTGCATCATTTCTTTTTTTTTTTTTTTTTTGCTCGGAAAACTTGTGGCAATGCTATAAAGGACCTGATAGGTAGTGGGTACATCTGATCTCGCATATGCCGCAAAAACTTCGCTCTAACCAAGTTCCACAGTCGCTTCGTAGATGGCTTTAGTGCGTTAAGAGATGGATTTGGTAGTAAACGGAGGCAAAGTGTGTGACCGGGGGAGGCAGCTGAATGCTGAGTCTGGCACCGAAGCCCGCCTGGGTTGTTTCCCCCAGCCGTGCTTCGACCAGATCTGCAACTCGGTGAAGCGCCTGCAGGGGGAGGAGGACCAGCTGTCGCAGCTGGAGAACTGCACCCTCATGGAGGCCCTGCTGGTGCTCAGGTGAGCCTCGCTCCAGCATGACGCTGCAACCCGGTCTCGTTCCCTCAGCACTCTTCTCAAGCTGCGTCTGTTTCCGTTATGGGACAACTTGGGAGAAGTGCATGTTCTGCTACCTGCCCAGGTAGCTCACCAGAGGAACTCGGCACAAACTCGGCAATCTCGGGGACCTAACTTGGGCCTCGTACAGTTTTTTTCTGGGGCATTAGTTGTTGCCAGAGTTATTTTCTTTGGCATTTCTCCGACTTTTCTCCTACACGTAATTGCCCAAGCTCCGGACTTGAGCCAAAGATGCCAGGCATGAACCGAAGAAGCAGAAGTGAAGCCTACATCTGGCACATGGTTGGTAATGTATCCTGAAAAGCGCCAGATGAGAGCCAAACTAAAATAGTGGAGCCTAATTTTGACACTTTTGGTGAACCGAGATACCGACTTTGGCCAAAGAAGGTCAATTTTCGCTCTACCTTGGTTTTTATTTTTAAGGCACTAGATTTCCAGACAAAAACCACATTTTGTACCAAAGAACTCTGCTATCTGGGCGCTGTTTAGAAAGAACTTTTTGTAAAATGGGCCTCCGCAAACATTCTAGGCCCCTTGACTGTACTTTACAGGCAAAGCTAAGCTAGCAACTGAGCATCTGCCAAAAAAATTCAAGTTGCGGGGACTGGGCCAGTCTGCCAAGCGTCGTAAAATATGACCATGTGACAGTCTGGTTCAATCCAAAAAAGACAGCTATGTTAAAAGAGTTTAAAATGAAAGGCCCGCCACCTCAAAATGCTGGCTTGTTGCCCTTCTGTCGTAGCGGTCCTGTTGGTTAGCAAATGCAGCAACCATTGAGGAGGGTAGTGTTCACAAACCTGGCAGAGCCCCGACTACGCTGTTGACAACCCCTCGCCCTCGTCTGCTGCAAGGATGCGATATTGCACACGTGGGTGGGGAAGTCAACGCATCAGAGACTGGGAAGGCACTCACGTGACGTTGTGGGTGGAGGTGGTCACGTGACACCAGGTCTTTGGCTAGGAGCTACATGAGCCGGAGAGCAGACGACGGAGGCTGCCTGCAACCGAGCCTGTTTTTCTGCTTAAAACTTTTCCAAGAGCTCGGAAACTGTCTAGACTAATAGAATATTTTACAGCATCAGCTGTGCCAGGCTCGTTGCACTGGGCTTTGGCGTCGGGGGAGGGCGAGTACGGGAGTGATACCCTCACCCTTTTGCCGATAATACAGTCAAACCCGACTATATCGAACCCGTTTACATCGAATTATCTCTTATATTGAACAATTTTTGTGCACAGTAATGTTACAGTGATAATATATGACAAAAACTATGGTTACATCAAACAAAAATAGCAGCCGCTACCGATATGTCAAACTGCCAAGAGTGCCGTTTTGCTCTGCAAGCGGCCGCATTGGGAAAAGACCAACTTGCAAAGCACGCTGGCCTTTCTTTTTTTTTTTTCCAAGCAGCCGCGTCGATTGCTTGGAGAAAAAAAAAAAAAAGTATCTTTTGCGGAGGGAGCGGGGAGAGGGTGCTCCGTGCTCCCTCTCCCCGCTCTGCCCGCAGAAGAGAATATTATTTTTTCTTCCGGGCAGTTGACACGGCCTCCCGGAAGGAAAAAAAAACCAGCTTGCTCAGCTAGCTGGCTTTCCCCCAATGCAGCCGTTCATCTTAGGGGAAAGCCAACTTGCAGAGCAAAACGGCGCTCTGCAGGAGAAGGTGCTCCTGTTCGGACGTGCTCAGTGCTCTCGGCATAGTTCGGCTCTAATGCGCGAATATATAAGGCAGCGGCTTCAGCATTTTGGGGTCCGTCGTATCGTAGAAAAATATTGTTATCGCAGATGCAATGAAGAAAAAGCAACAGAAGATGCATGACTATTTTCTTGCGTAATATGTCAGCAGAAAGTGGATTTTTTAGAGTCAAAATCATTAAAACTATTATATCGAATCGCACAATACATCGAACTAATTCCCGTTTTTTTTGTGAGTTTGTTATATGCGGGTTCGACTGCAGTTGCGGTTGAGACGCAGCACGTTCGGCCAATCGCGATTGTGCTGGGGGTTGTCTGATTGCGCTCCCTGCCACCTGCTCTTTCTCGCCTTCGGTCACTAGTTCCCTCGATGCTCTAAACCTTTGCGCGCAAGAATGGGGCAGCTAAAGCATACGCCAGAGCAAGCAGTGGCTGCTCTTAGCCATCAACGTGCCCATGAGAGAGAATGCGTTTATGCGCCGACATTTACACCACATTTATGCCCTGGGGATGTAACGCATTCGACGTCAAGTTCATGCTGTGCATGAACTTCAAGGGACACGTAGAAGCGAACAATACCGAGCGAAAAATGGACACACTGGTGCGACCAAGAATCTCCTGTTAGCTGTTCTGCGTGCGATCGGTTGCGTTTTACTCGACACGTCGTGCGACGCAACCTTGCCGGAATTTCCAGTCAATTATGACGCGGTATCGTCAAAATTTCGCATTGTACCAGCTGGCACCATTCATTTCGCATTGCGTCGCTTGATTGTTCGTGCAATTTTTTCTCTCTGTCCAAAGTTCTTTTTTGCGATATCTGCTGAGGCTTTTTTATTTACCTCATCAAAACTTGCTGCCAGTCGCTTTCCGAATGTAGCGGAAAATCAAATTCTCTTTGTTGAAACTACTATTTCTCTACCAGTGGGCTCGTTAAACCGGACTACACTTATAACCGTCAAAATATTAATGCTTAGCTAATGAGGCACGCAAGCTGGCCGAGGGCTTCCGGATGGGGAGCCGGGACTGGGAGAATTGTGTTGCGGTACAGCCCACCCACGGATAAAAAGAAAACGGTAATGGATAAACTTGTTGCTTCCCCATTGAGAGTGGCTTTGCACGCCCCCTAAGAGGAGTGTCAACAAACTTATTTTTACGGACATTAATGGCCTCTCGGGTTGCGGCAAATACATAAACCAACTTAGCAGAAGGAAAGCTTGACAAAGGCTAAAGGCGGCACTGGGAAAGTGGAGTGCCCGATTTCATAGCGGCTATTGTCGTGTGGGCCAAAGGCGACCGAGGCCGATATGGAAGGCACAAAAAGGACGACTTTCCAAAGATTTACCTGCGCGACAAAACACAGAAAAATATGGGAATGGATTTGGGGACTAGACTGAGTGGGGGGGGCTAATAAAGATATAATTTTTTAAGTCTTTTTTTAAAGGGGCACTAAAGAGGGTTCTGCGATAGTCTGTTCTTGGTCATAACTGATTCTACAGGCCCTAAGCACCCTGAAAATCCAAAAATTAGAATCGCGTGACATTGATTTCTTTATTAAAACGTGATTAAAGGCCGGGACACACCCCTTTCTGAGCAGATCTAAAGGCGGGGCATACCCCCGCAGCAGTGTCACTGCGCTGACACCGCTTTTTCTGCCCGCCTTTCCTGAGTGAAGAAATTCATTCAGAAACTAGCGTGTTCCAACCTTTCATTACGTTTTTAAAAAAAAAGTTGGCTACTCGCGATTGTCATTTTTTTATTTTTAAAATGCTTAGGGCCTGTAAAATCAGTTAAGACCAAGAACAGACGATCGCAGAATCCTCTTTAGTGTCATTTTAAGATTAGTTTGGTCAAAGTATTGGGGGCCCTTACACGAGTATGGCCCGTACACAGAATTATACAGCCTTAGGGCTCTAGACTTGTTAGCAGGAACATTTTATTTTCTCGGTTTTTTGTTTCTGCTAGCAACTTGCAGGTTTTTCATGGGGGATAATGGTGGAAATCTAACTTTCTCGCTTCTCTATTTTTCATTATGGAAATTCATCTGGCATTTCTTTTTCTGGGCATGACCAGCAACGAAATGCACAACTTCGAGCGTCAGTCGGAGTTTGTGGTTCGAGTGGTTTCTCCCGCTGTTGCCATCCTGACGAAAGAAGAGCTGAAGCAGTGAGTCGCTTTTAGTGTTCTCGTTTCTTTCAACTGCCCTTTAAAAGAATGCTGAAAAGGAAAAAAAAAAGTTTTTTTTAAACAACCAGAAAAAATTACAAATATTACTAATCGAATTTTCCGCAAAAGGATGTATATTTTTTTGTAATATTATTTACAGCACGAGACTTGTTCTAGTTTACAGCTTACAAACCTGTGCTTCAAAAATAGGTAGATAAAGTCACGACATGTACACACCAAGAGCAGCATTTTCATTGGCAGCCTCTCCTCAGCACTCCTTCTTTCCACTTTTCTCTCTCACGCGTAATTCTGCAACAGTGAGGGGAGGTAAGGAGAGGAGGAGAACGCTGTCCTTGGCTTGCCTTGGTGTCTTTGGGCTTGGGCATTTGAAAACTGTAAAATAAAATAAGTCTAGCACTTTAAAGATTTTTACAAAAAAAGATTCTTTTGTGGAAAATTCTTTTTGTTTTATTTGTAACCTTAAAAACTGTTTTAAAAATCGTTTTCTTTTTGTTGTTTTTTTCAGTTTTTTTAATGTGGAGATGTGAATCGAAAAATGGCAATATTTAGGAAAAATTGTAATTTTAGCTTTTTATGGTGTTTTATTATCTTTGAATCTATATATTTGATGTATTGAAATCTTTAGTGCTGATTATGATTGCAAAATTAGTAAAATATGCATTTGAAGACCTCAAGGCAACCCAGAACGGCATGAATTTGAGCCAATTTTCTCCGCGTGGTTCTTCAAGTTGTGACGTAGCCCGCAATCACATTTACGTTGACAAGTAGGCCTATCTGTCTCCTCTTCATTACAGTCGCGGAAATTTATTAACAAAATATTATTTACCACGCCGCAAAAGAGTAGCTAAACATCTGTGGTAACATTCAAATGTGTTTTTCTCTTTACGTAACTTTCGGACGTCTTCACAGTTTTGTGCACAAGAATTTCTGTTCTTAATATTGCTCTATCAATCAAATTTGGCGTGTATATACCTTAGCACATCTAGACTGCAACTCTTTAGGTTTGCCTGCGACGTTGGAGGGACGTTGAGTGCGAGAACCAATTGCACCCGACAATTTCAATGTAAATGTTTTTCCGGCACCAGAGCACTCTCTTCTACGGACACATTCCTGGCCTTTGTGGGCATGACGGATGCGCCCGTCGACTCAAGCACGGACGATGACAAAGGCTACAACCGTTCACAGGTGAGGCACCGTTTGGCATTGGCATTTGGAAGCTTGGAAGCTCCAAATGTGCCTAGAAGCTTCGAAGCTCCAAGTGTGCTTGGAAGCTCTCCTAGCTGTCGTGCCTTTGACTCGAGCCCTGTTGATCCTTTCCCACGCCTGTGCCGTGCAGTTGGTGTGCTGCTTCTCCATGCTGATGGCCCTGATCAAGCGCTGTCATTGGCCAACTGACCTCGAGGCAAGTGCGGCTTTCTCGTCTGCCCTAAAAGTCACGGTTGTTTAACACTAGCTGAAACCATTCTTTATTTGAGTTAACTTTCTGTTTTGTAAATTGTCGACCGATGGCTAGCGAGGTTATAGAGAATTGTAAGTGTTAATGACTACCTCAAAATTGCGTATGAATGCCTTCCCCTAAAAGGGCACCTATCCCATATTTTTTTTAAATCTTCATGGTGCTAAAAACTAACCGTCGCCCATTCCGTCTTATTCATGCAATGTCCAACGGGGTTTCTTCCAGCTGCAAAGAAGAAAAAAAAGCTTGAGCTAAGGTTACAGCCTAAACAGATTAGCGGGATTTCGCACTAACCTGCCTTGCGTCTGATGAGATTACCGTAAAATCCCTTAAGAGCACCCTCCCCCGAGAGATCTCCCATCCCGTTTTTCTAACCAAATATCTGACATAAAAATTTTGTTTTATTTATTAATTTATTTATTTACAAATACTGCAGACCCCACACGGTCCCAAGCAGGAGGGATAGCGCACATAATAAATACAGTAATAATGCACACAGCAAAACACAGGAGCACAACACATACGTATATAAGTCTGCCTAATACAACTTATCACACAACTTAAACAACGCTTTGTAACCGGGGTTATACAAATGCGCACATAAACAACAAAAAAGTGCAGTTAGGGGAGAACACGATAAACTTCAAACAGCTGAAAATAAAAATATTACCAACAACAGCAGCATTCCCGTTCGGCATCACGCAATGTCCGACAGGAATTGCATCAACCGCGTGAACTGCAGTATTGGTACGAGTGACAAAGGAGTTCATAGTGGGTCACGTGTTTTTGTCTGCGATGTGCACGTGCGATATTGGTTTATGTGACGAGCGAGTTGATCTTGCATGTTTATTGCATCGTGAAATGCAAGTCTGCTGCATCTGCAATCTGCGGTATTCGTTCCTGTGACATGCAAGTTCGTAGTGGGTTTTGGCAATTTTAGTCCACGATCTGCGCACGCGATATCAGTTCCCGTGAGGTACGACTTGTCACCGTATGTTTATTGCACCGTGAAACACGAATCTGCTGCATCCGCGATCTGCGATGTCGCTTCCCATCACATGCGAGTTCGCGGCGGGTTCTCACATGTCCTCCGCACCGTACAAAGTGAATCTGCTGCGTCCGCAAAATCTTTTACCGTGACACAGGAGCTCATAGGAAATTCCCGCGTGTTTATCACATTGTGAAACACAAATTTACCGTGTCCATGATCGGCGGTATAGGTTCCCACTCCATGTGGTTTGTAGCCAACGGCCAAGTGCTTTTATCACATTTTCTTTTTATAAAGTTTTGCTGTCACACCTTCAATGATAGCCTGCTCCACGTTTTTCACTATTTATCTCTTTATTTTGGGTATGCGTCCTTACAGGAATTTACGGGAGGTGCATCTAATTTTTTCATGATCTGGAGGGAGCAATAAATGTAACAATATTAGCCCATAAAAACATTTTTTTTTGTAGAGCCCATTCATTTCACGTGAAGATGGAGGACCAGCGAAGCTGTTAATTTTATGATAACTTTATAACTATACGACATCTATACGATTTACATACGATTGCAATGAAGACACATACTACACGACTTCGTTGTTAAATTGACTTTATTTAATTCTTAGTGACAAAAGTGATCATTGCGTCATGGTTACTTATGGGCAAGTTCTAAACCCAATTTTTTGAGGCACGCCTCAAGGACAGTTTTTACAGCGGAGCTGATAAGGGCTAGGTTCCCCAGGATCGTGTCCGGCATGTCGACACAAACCTACCTGGACAGCTACTGCCATTTATAAGAGATGGCAGCAAGCACACAACCAGTATGGTTTCCGCCGTCGCTCGTAGATGGCGGCAACCTTTCCAGCTATCATAGAAGAATTGATAGTTGGGCGCATTGGTGGGAATTCATTGTAGGAAACAGCGCGAAAAACAGACCAGGACGAAGAAAAAGTACACGTGACGAGCGCAGCGCTCGTCATGTTTGTTTCTTTGTCCTCGTCTGTTTCGCGCGCTGTTTCCTACGCTCCTACGCTCTTATCTGTTTCGGTTCGGACTCACGATGGGTCGGTCGCGCGCCCTTTCGGGGAAAGGAGACAGGCGGCAAAAGGAGCGGCGACGTACGCAGCTGCGCGAATGGGTCCATAACCGCCGCAAAGCTGCTGTCGCCTCGACTTCCACTGTATTCAGCGCTTCAGACTCCCTTGCCAAAGAGCACATCGCTCGCCTGGAAAGCCGCCGAGAACAGAACCAGCGATGTAAAGGGCGCCGGCGGGCCAATGCCATGCACGACGATCGTGCCACGGAGGCCAAGCGCAAGCGCGAGGCCTGGCGACGACTGCACTCCACGCCGGCTGGACAGTTCCCGGGTGCGACGGCGAGGTTCCGGAGGAAGTTTGTGGAGAACCCGTTTGTTGTCACGTACGCCGTGTGCGACCAACTCTGGTTCGCCGAAGGCGTATCCACGATCGGCGGCATGTCGGACGAGAAGAAGCGAGAATCGGGCGCGTGCGCATTGCGGCTGTGTATCTAGAACAGCTCCGCTGGTCTTCCTTCTTCACAAGAGTGGAAAGGCTGAACGTTTTCTGATTGAGCCCAACTCTTCATCAGCATCGCGGAAGGGAAACAAAGGAAGGTTAGATTGGCGCGTTCTGCCCTCAGCCTCATCCTCGTCACAGCGTACTCTTAGCTGAGATAAGTCGGTGATCGTAGATGATAAGGGATCAGGACCTCACTGGCTAGTAATGCCTAGAAAGGCTGACTCTTTTTGTCCCTTCTTTTTATTCATACTTGCCACGACCTATCGGAACAAAGGAGCGCCATTTAAACGGGAGTTTTTTTTTGTTAACATCCATGGACGCATTTTTTTCCAGATCTTAGCACATAACAGCTTCGCTGTAAAATCTTCCATGTATCGAGACACTTGCACTACTTTTGTGGCATCTAACTCGTGGTGTAAAATCCTATCGAGGTGTGCGATATAGAGGTCACTGAGTACAGGTGCAATACACAATCCTATCCACACTCTTTTAGAGCGCAGCTCTTAGGGGCCCGTTCCCGGCTTGAGCGGCGTCGCCGTCGGCGTAACCAAGGTCATCCCAAGGTCACGTGACCCCCAAGGTCACGTGACCCCTCCCAAGGTTATCTCAAGGTCACGTGACCCCACGTGACCCCTCCCAAGGTCATCTCAAGGTCACGTGACCCTTTGAAGGTCACGTGACCCCCAAGTCACGTGACCCCCGAGGTCACGTGGTCTCCTCCCCAAGGTCACGTGACCCCCAAGGTCACGTGACCCCTCCCAAGGTCAACTCAAGGTCACGTGACCCCAAGGTGACCCCCACGTGACCCCCAGGTCACGTGACCCCCCTCCCCGAAGTCACGTGACACCCCCCCCCCCCCCGAGGTCACGTGACCGCCCCCCCCCCCCGGAGCATATTAAAGAATGAGGGGAGGAGGAGGGGTCTACCCTCCCCTCAGTACTCTTCACTCCTCCTCCTCAAGAGCTGCGCTCCAATTCGGCGTTACAGGGATTTGTAAACGGCTTTCACTTTTTTTTTTGTAACTAGGTATGTCCATCCCAAGCAGCAAAGGTGGATTTTAGATAGATGTTGAGCAAATCCTAGTGACCCCTGCACGAGCCCCATTGTGGCTTTGTTGGTGCCGATTTCCGTGTTTACTTTTGCAACTTATGTTGGGCATAGCAAACACATTTTTACTCCCGGTGCTACTTGGTCGCAATGAAGCTAAAGTGCAAGCTCCTACTCCCGAGTTGAGAGCCAGGGTTGACGTCCCCTTCTATTCTCCACAATTCTCTGGAGGCAGGTGGCCAAGAAGGGTGGCTTCTACTGTGAGCGAGATGGTGTCGCCTACTGTCGCCACCCTGCCACCGCGTACATGCTGTCCCTGCTGCCCTCCATTTCCCTCATAATGCGGTGAGCCTCGGCAGTTTGTCATCTTCTGAGGGGGGGCATTTTGCATCGCTATAGTCTGCTGCAGGTGAAGAAAGCGGCACGAGCTCTCCCGCAAAGCCTCTTTAGCAGAACGACCGCTTCAAAGGTCCCTCCTCCCTTTAGCGTTTGTTCTGCTAAAGTGGATGAGCTTCCCCTGCTTTCTTGACCTGATTTAGTTTATCACTAAATGCAGTTTATGGATGAAATTGAAAAAAAAAATGCAGGCAAGACTGGGAGCAGATGAGAAAATGGACAAGCACACATACCGTCTTTAGTTTATTGCGTCATGTGAAGCATGTTCATTCTTTTACTTTTTCTACTGATAGAAAAAAGTTCTAGACACGTGTGAATATGCTGAGCTTCTGAAGCCACCCAAAGGAAGCTTTCCTAGGCACCTTGCTGTTATACGGTAAAAGCAGACTCAAGAAAAAACGTTAAAATCAGTAGGAAACTGTAGAAGAATACAGGACAGATGCTGAACTCACTACTCCAGGGGTTCTCAAACTTTTTAATCTCACGGAACCCCAGGAAGCCTCAAAAACTGCCACGGTACACTGCTCCCCCCATTTCCTCTATATTTGCCGACCGAGAAGCAGCAGATGCACAATTGTAGGCAGTTTCGCTTGTGTTGCTTCCCATATATCCCCACCATATCAATCACAATGTCGGTACAAAGTGAAATGAAGGCACTTTGCATGGTCCTACCGCGCAGTCTGCGGCGTGGGGGGTAGGGGATTGGGGGGAGGGGGGGGGTGGCAATTAGGGTGTTCGCGGAACCCATGAGACCAGCTCGTGGAACCCCTGTGTTCCCCGGAACCCAGTTTGAGAACCCGTGCACTACTCAATAGATCATCCTGAAGAGAAGAACAAAGAACATGACATATATCAAACAGGCACGTGCTCATGGCGCAAGAACTCAAGGGCACGAGTTGAGTTGATTACTCGAGTTCATCGATGCGTTTGAAAATGATACTTCTTTTTCAGATAGTGCTACAGAAGGCTCTCTCAGACGGCGCTTCCCCTTTTTTTTGCTGATTTTAACCATGTTTACCAACGAGCCCAGCGTGCCATTGTTCCACACTCAACAGAGGGTCATAACTATCTGCAATACTGCTATTTCATTCAGACGTGCAATCGAATATATACAAATTGTTACGAGAAGAATAGTTGCGTATACTCTTTAGCTGTTTTCCTCGTGCACTTTCATTTTTTTTTGCGCATGTTTTTTTTTCCCTTTACATTTTGACATTTTTTGGAAAAGATTTGGCTGAACTGTTATTGCACCATCATGCCGCCCCCTTTTTCGGTTTTGGGAAAACTAGTTGTTTATGTGTAATTAGAGGAATAAAAGCTAATCCTAAAAAATTATGTGATTCAGTCTAGAAGCATGGGGTGTAATGGAGTAGGTCTACAGCTGACTGTGGCTAGTGATGTTGGGTGGGCCACAGTGCACATTGTGGTAGCAGCAGTCTGCGAGCCTCTGACGTTGAGTGTGCCTCGTTGCGAAGGACGTACAACCTTCTGTGGACCAGAGAGGCCCGAGCCAAGGTGCACCCGGCGTTCGCCTCGGCCTACGACATTCACGACAGCGAGCGGAACGCAGCACTGGGTGAGCTCTGCGCTGCTCTTCTGCCAGCCGCTCTTCTGCCAGGTGCCCTTTTGCTCAAGCACGCTTTCTGCTTTCTGACCAAGGACTCCGAAGCGACGTGGATTTCTCGGAGCCTTTCAACTGCAAGCAGCCTTTGGACAGGGTCAAGAGCTTTATGTTCAACATCCAGGACTACGGGTGAGTCGGAAACCTACTCTGCTTGCAGTGCGTGGCTCTGGCGCAGACTCTTTGGTTTTATGCAATAACTGCTTCACTATAGCATGCAATCCAGTTATAACAATATACCGCTTATAACGATCAGTTTATAGAGTTTATAGACTAAAAATGTCCAGTTTCTAGCCTAGGAACTGATCGGGAGCTTACCAAGTAGAGCATCCAAGAGCTGCTAAATGCAGTTGAGTGTAGTTGGTGGAGGTTGCAAACAACTCCGCGCTTACGGGTGCACCTTGCTGGTACCTCCACGCAGCATAAACAACAAAACACTAGATAATTAAAAAAAAAAAAGAGAAAGACAGAAAAGCGAGACACATAAAAGTTGCCGAGTTACTAGCCATAGAACCAATGCGTGAGAAAAGCCCGGGGTGAAGATCGTAAGAAAACCCAGTAGGGTTCCTTTCTCCATTTGCGCTTACCCGAGACCCGTGTGCCTGTGGCAGCCTGCAGATCCTGGGCAATGCGGGCCAGTGCCTCGGCCCGGAGTTCTACCGCTGCCCAGGCCTGTGCGAGGCCCTGGCCAGTTCGGCCCTGGCCGGCCTGGACCAGCTGCCCGACTACCGGCTGCGCCCCATCGTGCATATCCTCCATTTAGTTATTTCGCGAGGTGGCTGCCTTGATGCAAGAATAGACGGTAAGAGAGGCATAGAACGCAAAAAAAGAATTGTGCGGTAACCACGGGAGACGCGGAGAAAGTCTAACCTTGCAGTTGGTCGTCCACCCGAGTAATACCGGTCTGGGAAACACTAGAGCAAATCGGCCTACGCTGGACATTGAAGTATTTTGGAGAAGAAAGGAGTTTTGGCATTCTACGTGTGATGCATCTGCTTATGCTAGAGATAGGTGGGACATGGTGAGAGCACGCGGTTAGAAAAGGGTGGGATTCGGGAATTCGGGATGCCACGATTAAAAAAAACACGAGCCGAGCGTTTGACGGTTGCTATTGGGTCTTGCCCACGACATATCACAACATGTGAATCTGTCATCGACTGCTCTCGGATGCGAGTGTCTTAGTGTCCGTCTTAGCTAAGCGGGTAAGCGGTCATTCCGCGGCGGCATCGAGCCAGCTCTTGACCGTTTGGTAGAGTGTTTGCTGCCCACATATTTGCGGTGGATGGACGGATGGAAGGGCGGTCGTTTTCTGCCAGCTGCGTTTCCCCTGACCGTACTGCACGTAGCTTCGTGAAGCCCTTTGTGCTGCACTGCCCCTGCGAGCTGCGGGGCACGGTGGTGCTGCCCCTTCTAAAGGCCCTCTTCCCCTTCGTGTTCCAGGTGAGTGTGGCCGGTTTCTCAATTCCCAAGATCTCTTGAACGCAGAATGGGTGGCTGGCTCCTGTGGTCACCAAGAGCTCGAGATCTCTCTGGAATGCGTCTGACACATGCTTGTTGTCCACAGCTTGGCTTGAACTCGTGTCCCCACCAATGCCTCTTGCAGTCAAATGCAGATGCAGCACTCTTGTCCCTCGCTAGCTTCCACACACGGCGTAGAAAGCCCTGCAGCTATCGAGGCGGTGTTGAGCGAGTGCGCTCGCGCACATAGCGAGGAGGAAGGGAACGAGCATGCATTTTGGAGGAGACGGGCAAATGCGAAATGGCAGGGTCAAAGCCAAGACGGCGTGATCGCGTGAGGTGCAGACTTTGTTTTGTTCGAGCTCTAGCTTTGGCAGGGCTTGTCTGTGCAACTTTATGCGAAACCACCTAATAGGTTCTCCGTTACCATGTCTTTTGTTGGATGGTACGAGAAAGGGTCAGGCTTTGCGATGAGTGCCACCATATTTTGAGACGACTAGGGCTGCTGCCTAGCACCCAAGAAACCTGAAACATTGAGCAACTGGCCACGTCCAAGTATACACTAACAAGTTTTTCTTGTCACACAAGTGAGCCATGCTGCACAGAATATTGCAACTCTGCCCAAAGTCGACACTAGGAACGTTGAGATTTCAAAACTTTGTGTGGTAGGTGCACTTGCCCAAAAAGTTTATTTATGTGAGTGTTAAAATTATGTAGAAAAATTTGAGATAAATTATATCTAATTAATATATTTTTCTTTTGTAAGTTCTATTCCTAACTTGTGACAGAAAGTGTCAAACACCGAATCTTCAAAAGTATCAAACATCCTTCGATATCAAAAAATGTCTCAAAAGGTTACCACTGATTTTATACTTTTCAAATCCTCTAATACCGTATTTACTCGCAGAATTAAAGCACTTTTTTTTCCCCGAAAAATCTATGCAAAGTATTTACTCGCATAATGAAGGGACCTGTTATCCCGAAATATCGAAATTTTTTTAACGCCTTTTGCGAGGCGTTTTGTTTGCCCAGAGGGCTTCTCCGCTTCTCTTTCTTCCAGACTGCGCTGTGCAAAAAAGAATAAAAAGCTCCTCTCCATGTTTTTTTTTTTTCTTGCTTCTGTTAAATCTTTTTTTATTTTTTTTAACGCCTTTTGCAAGGCATTTTGTTTGCCCAGAGGGCTTCTCCGTTTGTCTTCCAGACTGCGCTGTGCAAAAAAAAAGAAAAAAAAAAAAAGAAAAAAAAAGCTTTTTTTATGTTTTTTTGTTTCTTTTTTGTTTCAATTGGGTCTTTTTTTATCTTTTAACGCGTTTTGCAAGGCGTTTTGTTCGCCCACGCTGCCCATGCATTCGCGACCTCGCTGCACCAGGATAGAAAAGTGCGTTCATTTCGCGCTCGTGGGGGGAGGGGGTCAAAATTTTGACCTCCGAGTTGGGGGTGCGTTTATTACGCGAGTGAAAAAAAAAGTCAAAATTTTGAGAGCCGACTTGGGGGGTGCGTTCATTACGCGAGTGCGTTTATTGTGCGAGTAAATACGGTAGTGCTAAATTAGCATCGAATTTGGTGTTGTGGAAAAGAACAAATTTGCAGTATTTTGATATATTGATCAAACCGTCATGCGCATATTTGCGTTTTGTGAGCTTGCTCTGATCTCCAAGCAAGGGGTGATTCTATCAGTATTCAACTTCCTGTGTTTGCTGCTGTGTGATCGCATCCTCGACTTGTAACACACCTGAAATTTTATTATGTTACAATATCCCGCTAAATTTGCGGAAGCTGCTCACCTGGCATATCCAGGAAGCTTTTTTTAAAAGCTAAAAGTGAGAGAGGCATTAAATTCTATACAGTGTGCTTACCTACAGGGACTAAATTATCGGCTTAACATCCATTCACCCATCAGCACATCGAATGTGCTCTTTTCATTTGGTCATTTGCTGGTTCTTTTGCAGAAACTCAACTCCAAATGGGAGAACTTCAGGCTCAAGTATGGTAACTGGTATGTCAATGATTTTTGTACTTTTTAAGACTGAAACTAGTATGAGAATTTTAGAATATGAATGTCTAGTGCAGAAAATTTGCTTCCAGTAATATTAAATATCTTCACGCCATATTTACTTGCATAATGAACGCACTTATTTTCCTGAAAAATTTACCCATATTTGGGGGGTGCATTCATTACGCGAGGTAAAAGTTTTTGCATTTACACACTTTGCGCAAATGTCATCGGCAGACTACTGTGGCACGTCTCCACTGACGAAGGCACACCCGTGGCTGGTTGTGGGTGCGCCACAGTGACCATGCATGATGCTTTATAAACTGTGAACCTTTAGGGCGCTTTTAGCGTGCTTTTTGCCGAGAGAAAAGCGCCCTACGAAGCTCACTCGGCACAGAGAGCAACGCGGTCGTTCTTAGGCCTAACAACTTTCACGGTTTCAGTCCGAAAGCGGACCACAGACGACGTGTTTGTTGACATCAATGTATCCGACGGGCAAAACATGTCCGGGGCTGGGCAATTACTCAACCCCAGTTTTGTTAGGTGTGCACGCCACTTAGTTTAAATGTTGATCAGTTCCGCAACTAGCACTTACAGCCGTTACGCTTGCGTGTACTGCTATGCTTGGCTTGGCTTGGCCTGGCCGGCCTGAAATATGTGAATGAGGATATCGCTGTCGAAGAAGTGCTCTTTTTGTCTGGACTGGGTCAAATTTGAAAACATGGGCTGGATTCGGCCTGTTCCAAACGTGTCGGACAGCACTCGCTGTACATTGTACTGCAGGAAGTTTCATTTAGGTATTTTACCTCAAAGGCATCTAGCAACGCATTACATTAGGAACAAGAAAATTGGTGAAGTGATATATATACATTCATCTAAACAAAATTATAACAAATGATAGATGTTGTGATATACCGGGTGTTTCATTTTAATTCAAACAGATTTCTATTAAAAAAGATCAGCGAAAAATAGATTAATGCAGTTTGTGAAGGTGAGTTTTATGGCTAGAGAAACATAATATGGGTGGCTAATTGTCGCAATCAGTCGGAGAATGTACTAAATATTGTTAAACAAATTTTTAATTTGTGAAAATAAACATGGGGTTCCAATTAGAAACTTCCTGAGTGTCATCTAAAACCACTAAATGAGCCATTTTTAGAAACATTTGAAATACATGTGTGGGTGCTCTAAAGTTTTCACTTGTGCAACTGGTGTAATGCTGGCGATCTGAAAATGCAGGTGAAGAGATTACCATCCGCGATTTCAGACCACCAGCTTTGTGCCTGTTGCGCGAGTGCAACTTCACTTTTCTACAACTGAGTGATTTAGTGATTTTAGATGACTCTCGGCAAGTATCTAATTGAAACCACGTGTTTATTTTTACTAACTAGAAAGTTTATTAACAAATGTTAGTTAATTATTCTACTAATCATGACGATTATCCCCTTTTATTACGTCCCCCTGGCCATATGACTCGCCTCACAGGCTACATAAGTGTACCCTTCAGGGAATCTCTTCAATAAATTTGTTTGAAAACACCCTTTATACATACCATATTTTCCGGACTATAGTCCGCACCCGGTGTATAGTCTACAAAACCAAATTTGGCTAAAAAGAAATTGCTTAGATAGTCCGCATTCGGTGCATGGTCCGCACTTAGCGCCTAGTATGAATGTGAAAATGATCATACACAGCACACTTTGACTAATGCCTGCTGTATTGGCTCGCAAAGAAGCTTATATGATACATAAGTCACCAGTAATATACTCAGTTATTCATGAAATCCTTCACGTCTTCTCCCAGTGAACGTTCTAGAAAAATACAAAACCTTGTATAGGAAGGCACCTGTAGATAGTCTGTACCATGTAAAAATTCAACTCCTAAACAAGTATTGTCCACGGACTATAGTACGGAAAATACTGTACATATATATACAACAATGGTAACAAGGGAACTGTCAGTACTTTAAATATAACAGTGTTAAGTAATATGAAATATGAAAAACTCCAGATATATAGATACTCTTTCCACAACTCGTTGCATTAACAAGTGCAACAAAACCAAATATTCGAAACACGAAAGTCATCAAGGAGAAATCAGGTGAATTTAAATAAGCTCTTGACAACTTATTTATCCGAGGAAGAGGCAATTTCTGGTCACGGAAAGAGTAAAAAACACTGGGCTGCTAAGAGTTCCATTATTTTTCTCTCATTAAAGCTGCAACAGATGTCATTGTTTCCTTAACATAAGTTTCGTTCAGAAGTAGCATTTGCACCCCAAACGCTTGTGCAGCACTTCTGGTCACCGCTTTGAAGACCTCGATGGGTGACTTGTTACCAAACAACCATTTCGTCAATTCCAAGATTGTGTACTTCTTGAGCGCAATAATGACTCTCAAATATTTTTGTTCCGGAGGGGTGACAGCTGTGCTTGTTCCATTGATGTTTGCTGCGTGTGAAATCGCCACAAAAATGCAGTTGAAGACAGACGCGACTCAATGCACAATTTGTAGCGAGATTTCCTGCAGCTTGGAGTAGCGGCTGTCTTGCTGGGATTAATTCTTTGCGGTCATGTGTCGGGTCAGGCCCGACATCGGAGAAACGTGCTCCCAATCAGGAGTCAGGCATCGCCCGACACGCGTTCCCGCATCCTTTAAAAGATGATCCTTTGCTCTTTTTGCTGGGTTGGTGGTGCCATCTCTTGGAAAACACTTCAATCACATCACTTTTGAAAGGGTTCTAGCTTCTCCTGGAGGGCAGGACTAGTCATAAAAAAAAAAACATGTTCTATGTTGTGTGTCTTTTTGCGCAGCGGAGACGTGCGCAAATTTCAACTTCGCTGTCACGACGGTTATAGCCACGTTCCAGCCACGCTTGTTTTATGTGACTATCTGCATGATGTAATTGAAAGTGACAACGATTTCGGTGAAGAGGACGACTGTATCCCTCCATCAGATGCTGAAGAGGTGACCTCTGTTACTTGAGTAAAAGTAGTGATAAGTATGAAACGACTGCGCAAGACAGCGGCCGCGAAGCCACCCCGCCACAAACAATCTCCCAAACCTTCCTGTTCTTACGTGGGACGTTACCTTTGTACACTGTAATAAATTTACTTTTCCGGGGAATTGCATCCAAAATAGTTCCTGACCGGAATCACCATTAAGGTGGTCAGAGTATCTGACCGCAAAGGGTTAAGTAGTTTCGGTCACGTGGCCATTGTAGGCAAATACACCTTCCCCGCTAATTTTAGTGGAGAAGTTGTGTTGCACTTTTTACACTTGTTCCAGACTGATTAGAGAGTTGCTGTGTTTCAGTGCTGACTACGAGGACGAGATGACGGAGGAACAGGAGCTGCTGGACGACCAGCTGAACAGGCTGCTCTCGAGGGAGTTCCTGGACCTCTTGGGTGAGGGCGGATAGCGAGGAAATCACTCCGGCCACGTTTTCAATGGTGTCCATCATAAAACCGGATGTGCAAAGAGAATGAAGGCTTGCCCTTTGCTGTACGCTCATCACAATTACTGCAACGTCATCGGGCCCCTCATAACGTGGGACAAACTGGTTCTAACGCACAATTTGTTTTATTAACCGATTTTCGTGGATTTCTGTAACGGCCAGCTGTAACGACAAACCGACACCGAAAGGCGTTACGCCCTTAGGGAAAAGACTTCAGTTCCTCGAGGATTTGAACTTGCTACCTTGAGATTGTGAGCCAAGTGCTTTGCCAACTGAGCTATCTAGGGTCAGTAGTGAAAGCACACAAAAGTGATTCCTATTATGCTGTGCCATCTCACGATGTGTGTCAGAAATACGAGCGAATCTTCGGTAGGCGGTGTTATTCAGACGCCCTTCTCTTCTTCCCTAGAAGGCCTGTCACACATCCATACTTACCAGCCTTTGTCAGCATGGTCAAGCTTGTATATTATTAAGGTGAAAGTCTTATATGTCTCATCGTTCAGTCGACCTTCAAAGTCCTTGAGCAGATACATGTCGACGACACGAAAGGTACCAAAACCCACGGTTCAAAACTGGACCATGAGTTGGCGCTACCTGTGCCAGAATTCACAGAGGCGCGTGCGCGGCGCATGCGTAGCAGAAGAGGAAAACACTCGCTCGGGCAGCAAGTGATCAAAGTTCCCAACACTTACCACCGGCGCAGAATGACAGATGGTGCTATCAAACCTCTCTGAATATGGTCGAACGACGGGCAGCGCTTGTCAGCCACTTGCAAGCGACTGGTCCCCACACGGACGAGCGGCCAACCAGTCCCGCTCGTCCACGCGGGAACCCTTCGCTCTCGAATGGCTGACATGCGCCGTCCATCGTTCGACCCTATTCAGCAAGGTTGGGAGCACCATCTGTCATTCTGCGCCGACGATAAGTTTCGGGAATTTCAATCACTCTTTTAATACGCAAATCGGCCGCACATGAATGTAATTTTGGGGTTTTTAGGACGATTAGAGTTCGTAGATTAAGTTATGATAATAAAACGAGGATCTCAAAAAGCACTGTAGTCGTCCTTTAACAGCACTTTAGCAAAGGTAACGCTAGAGAGGAGGTGACCTCCTCTCCACCGTTTGTTCTGCTAAAGTGGAAAGAGGTTAGAGGAGCTTCCACTTTACCCTTAACCTGTCCTTGACTATAGATTCTATGTGGTGTAAAACAATCAAAAGTGCGGGATGCCACCACCGCTAGGGTGCGCATCTCCTATCTGGGTAGTGACATGTCTGAGATCTTCAAACACAGAATGTGTTTTATGAGCAAATGGTGAGGAACGATGGACATGAACAGGCGCAATGAATGAGCGACATGCTAGGAGCGTTGCACGACGTTTTTAAAGTTCAAGGAACTTGGGTCATACTGAGCTGTGTACTCTAGGAATTGGCCTCATTGACGTCGCTCGAGAGAACTACTCCCTCCAGGGCGTGAACATGTTGGGATTATGTAGCAATGGGGGCAGAGTAGGCGGGTGGACTCCTCTTTAAAGTGACGGTTGAAGGTCTTTTGTGTCTTCTTTGCCCTTTTTTGAATACCATTGAAATCATGAAGCCACTAGCTCAATTCACATCTTCAGCCTAACTGGATTTTCGGAGTGGATAATAGGTTCAAAATTAGGCTAGTATGTCCATATGGAGAAATGAGATGGGTTGTTTGCTGAGTGCCTTGCCACGGATTGCCTTTCAGCGGTGGTGCTCCTGTCCAGGCGCCAGGAGACGGTGCCATCGGATACGATGGACGAGGAGTCGGAGGCGCCTCACGTTCCCCCAGGGTCGGCTGCCATCTCCGAGCTGGGAGCACTGGTGCTCGGGACGGAGGTACAGTTTAATCTCGTTGCAGCGTACGTTTGGTTATAACATACTGATTTGTTAAGTTTGGTTGGCCTTCCTATTCATGCCACAGAGCCAACTTTGCTTATTACAGATTCTGATATAATGGACTAAATTAGAGAGTTTGTAAGTAGTTCACCATTCCATTATAGCAAACTCTTTGACAGCAATCATTATTGCCGACATTATGCGGCTTTGGTTTGGTAGCAGTGGCATCCATTTCGCTAATTGCTGTCATTGTGCTCGGAGCGTGGCGAGCTTTGTATGACCCAAAGGACACAGTAATGATGGTCATCGGTACAGCTGAATAAAATATCGCTACCTTTTAAACTTCATAAGTTTCAATAAACCAGTTCTTTTCTAATACAGTCAAATCTCGACATAACGAATTTCATCGGACACACGAAAATCCTTTGTTTTCTGAAATATTGTTATAGTGAAAAACTCATATAACTGTAATTAAATCTGAGCTAAAATAACGAACCTTTGCAATAGGAATATCCAAACGCTCAGATGTTATCCAAAAAAAAAAAGCTACACGTGGTTGAACATTACTTATTTATTGAAAGAAAAGGTCCAGCACAAATGCTACTACAGAAAGAACCAGGTGGGTAGAAGGATCCGACATTGATGGTGACACTGGCACCTCCCACTTAATTGAACACTGCACACACAGCACAGTTAATGGAGGAAATTCGAAATCTCCTTCTGGTTGGTGCAGCACAAACGCTGCAGGGTGAACGATTCATTGTCATCCAGCTTCCTGTGGTGAGCCCCGGTTGCATTGTCACACCTTGCAAGGAATATGCGCAACTTGCTAATGTGGAACAGCCCGCATGAAAGAAAGGAATGAGAAGTTAGCAGTGCTGTTAACTTATTTTTAAGCAAAGTCGCCAGGATGCGGCTTAAAAGTCGCCACTTTTAGCGAAAAGTTGCTAAGTGATGATGAGGATGATGATGGCATTTTTCTGAATTCGTTATTAGAGCGCAGCTTTTAAGGGCCCGTCTCCGGCTTGAGCGGCGTCGGCGTAACCGTGTGGTGCATTATGGGAAATGTCCCATAATGCACCGTGCGAGCCCCCCCCCCCTCCGGGGTCACGTGACTTCGGGGGGGGGGGGGGGGGTCACGTGACTCTGCCCCCTTGAGGTCACTAAAGCCCCCCCCCCCCTACGACGTCATCGTCACTGATGACGTCACCGGCATCCGCATCGTCATCATCATCATCACTGATTACGTCATCAGTGACGTCACTGATGATGTCATCGGTATCCACATCATGATCGTCACTGATGTGGCCCCCCCTCGACGTCTCGTGACCCCCCCCCCCCCCCCCAGTACCCTTCTCTCCTTCTCCTCAAGAGCTGCGCTCTAATTTGGCGTTACAGGGAGTTGTAAACGGCTTTCAATTTTTTTTTTTTTTTCATTCTTTGTTTAAACAAGATATGTAAAGGTTTTTATTATTTGAAACAATATTTTAGATTACTTTCTGTGGAGACGGGCCAAGTGAAGAGTCGTAGCCGGTCGTCCCATTCCCAAGGTGCTCGTCAGCACCTTGAGTTAACCTTGAGTGACTCGAGACGTTGGCGAGAAGATCCTGGTCCAGGAACAAAAGGACAGAAGAATGCATTGAAATCATACTCCTTTTGTATACATCTCCACCCTTAGTAGAACAAATGTGCTTCGTCCTTATCGAACAAAGCTGCTCGCTTTAAAATACAGTTTTTTTTTTTTGTTTTTTCACTATGTTCATGAATGATTTCGACAAAACCTGCTAGATAATCCCTGTAAAAGGAAGTGGTTCATGGGTTGAGAATGTCTTTGTATTCGCGTCAACCAACGTTACCTTGCATCACACTCGCCTTCAACAGCAGTAACTGTCTGCTTTTTCTCTCCCTCCCCCTCTCCACTGGAGAGAAACAATGAAGTTGAAAGCTGTCCACTGGAAGCTGCCAAGGAGCTAACCTACTGACCTATTTTCCTCTTTTTAAGACAAGGATTATGCATTTATGAGTCTTAGCAACTACCTGTCTACTACGTAGCTTTAGCAACAACAATTCCCCTAACTGGAAAAAAAAGAAGTCCCCAAAATAGTTGCTAAGACTCCACAAAAATAGAGATGTCGTTAGGATAACTGAAAACATGCTAAATTTAGCGACTTTTTGCTAAGTTAACAGCACTGGAAGCTAAGTAGTTAGGCCTAATGCACTCGCAGGATTTGTGGGAGCCTGTCAAAATAAAGTTGTTTACGGTATGTGAGATTAGTTGCGCGAATTAATGGAAAATGAATTGAGTGGTAATTTTTTTTAAATACTTCTGATTTTAATCAGGTATTGAATATCTTAGCGCAAAATATACCATTTGTTCTAAGGAAAGGTAAGGCCTGTGACTGACCGAGAATGAAATTTTGGAAAGGAGCTTGAATAGTTAATGGATTTCCTGCAGGATCTATGTGCATCGGTGGTGCTGACGGTGTTCAATGCCCTGCACTGGTGCGACACCTCGGTGTCCTTCAAGGCCATCACGCTGGCCACCCCTCTGCTGAGACAGGTAAGCCACCCGTCGAGTCCCGCCAGGAACCGTCGCAAATGCAGTGCCCTTAATTGCGGAGAAATTGACTTCCTAAACTGGCACGTCGATCGAGACCCGTTTTTGGTTGGCACCTGGTGGCCCGATGGCCTAACCGGCACGGTCCTTACAGCTGCAGATTCTTTCTAACCAAGTCCAGTTGATGGAGATAATCAGTATCTTCTTGTAACGGGTGCAAGTGCCAGCTGCAGTCAAATAAACTTAGCCAGTGGGTTGATAAAAACGGTTTTAGGGTCATGCCCGACTGCCTGCGTAGCCTTTCAGTCGAATCCTGACGTCCCGGCATGTAATGCCAGCCTCGCAGGCGCGTCTAATTTGAGAACCATGAAGAGCCCAGCAAAGCGAAACACCTTGCAAATGTTTATATTTGCCAAAGACAAAACAAAAAGCAACATCTCTTGCGGTGAGTGCAGGTTTGCGTTTAGCCAGGCACTTTCAAATGTGTATTCACTGCCGTACGTGTACGGTGGTGACCGCCAAAGGACTAAGAAAGTACAAAGAGTGGGCAAAACATTGCTCGCAATGTCGCCACCCCATCCTTCCTAGCCCGATTTGCGAGAAAGCAGCCGCGTTGTGCGGGGAAAGTCAGTGAGTAGTCGGAGAACTCGAATGCAGCGTGGAGAGACTAACACGCCCAACCTTTCGTCTGCTTCCTGTTGCTGATCGTAAGAAATAAAACTAAAAAATTACACGAGGGTAAGTGCAGCACAGACAGTGCCATTTTATTTATTCTGTCCACTACTTGTCCTTCTACTTGTCCTTGTGCCCATTTTTGTAATGTTTAAAAAATTCAGTCTTCTACCTGTTCTTAATTACGGTAACGAAAAAGGGACATAGAAGACAAACAGACGACAGAGGCTTTCGACTTGTTTTATTTGTTCTGTCTTCGACTTGTCCCTGTGCAGATGCAGCAGGAGGGACTGATCCGGGACGAAGGGGGGGCCTGCTACCTGCTGCGCTGCGTGCTTCAGGGGCTGCAGGTGCTGGGGGAGCACGACATCCACCAGGGACTGCTGCTAAGCCTCGCCCTGGCCCTGTACCTGACCACCCGGCCACTTTTCCCGGGGGTGGCCACCTTGCTGCTCGCCGTGCCGGGCTGCACTCCCGACGCCCTCAAGGTGGGTCTCAGACAAAAGACTAATTCTAAGAATGCAACTAATTGGATGGGATTAAAATACTAAAGCAGGGACATTGTTAAAGGAAAACTCCAGTCAATGCGGAGGGCAAGTTCGTCTGCTTCTTGCGCAGGGGGTAGCGGTGACGTCAGAACGCCGATCCCTGATTGGCTGATCGCGACCCCCTATCTGAGCGTCGTCTGCTCCTTTGCAACTTCATCTGTTCGCAACGTCGTCCGCGTCTGTCTTACCTTTCCTGCGACTTTCGGAAGGCCAGATTCACGAAACAATCTTACGCCAAAGATGTGCGTAAGACAGAACTTAAGAACGAATTCGTATTCAGGAAACTAAATTTTCAAAAGTTTTGCGCAGGTTACGACGAAATCCTACGACAGCTCCGAAGCTCGCATGGCCGACAGCGTCGCGGTCGCGACGACCCACGGACGTTTATTTTTCTACGTGCGCTTCTCACGCGTCCCGACTTCAAGCAGCAAGAAAAAAGTAAAAAGTACTTGAAACAGACCACGACGAACAAGAACGCTGGATCTACAAACGCCCAGGAAAAGCTCCAATGGCCACGATTCCACCGAACGCGACCAAGCGAGCTTCTGCAGTTAGGCCTAGCAGGCACTCCGCGACTCGGCGACCGTCTGCCCACGACCGGCTGGCGTGCTGAATGGAATATGCCCGCGCGACCGTTGTGAACCCTTCCCGTATTATACTTTCATCGCTGACCTCAATTTTAGATTAAGAGGTCAATTTCTTCCTCTTGCTATCTCCTTGTTTCCCGAGGCAACGGTGACTCTCGCCGGTGAAAAAGCGGTGCATCTCCGACAGACGGAGGAAAGGTAAAGCAGCCATCGCTTTGACTAGCAGACGTAAAGCAGACGACGTTAACTGCGCCAACCCTCCGACGCCGTTAAAGAGTAAGGAGTCTCGCCGCACACGAAAGGAGGGAAAAAGTATTTGGGAGGGAACTTGCGGACACTAACACGCTCATTCTCGGTTCTTAGCAAACAACCCTCGGCGCCTCAAGACACCTCGCCACCTTTGACTTCCCTCCTTGGTGCGCGTCTTCTAGTTGTTAGACAAAAACAATGTACCGCTCGAGTTATTTCGTCTGCCCTCTCTGAAAGGTGAAGTCGAGCTCGCTTGTAAAGTCGCAGGAACTTTAAGACAGACGCAGACGACGTTGCGAGCAGACGACGTTGCAAAGGAGCAGACGACGCTCAGATAGGGGGTCGCGATCAGCCAATCAGGGCTCGGCGTTCTGACGTCACCACTACTTCCTTTCTCATGCGCAGAAGACGAAAATGAGCCCACTTGCGAGGCGTATTCCAAGAAATTTGAGTTAATGCATGGTTGATATACCCCTAGGTAGTAATAAACGCTCCTACGTCTTTTTTTTTTCCAAGGCAGGAATATTTTTTGCACAATCTTTATTTAAAGTTTACCACAAACCAAAACAATGTCTGCGGTGGGCAACATTGCGCCGGCGTCGTCATCTACATGCTCTAACCATATGGTACAAATTGTGACGTGACGTACCGGGTGGCCGGGAGCAGCTCGGCGCAAGGGCGAAAGTGTCGTCTGCTACAATCGGCAGTCTGCTTCTCCCGACTACGCATGCACTATCGCTTCCGCAGCTTGTGTTTTAGCACAGAAAAGGGCAAGTTTTCCCAAGGGCTTGTTTTGAAAACATTACCACAAAATCTTTTGATTATATTGAGATATTTGGCCCATGATCTTTTAGGCGATACCAAAGAGAATCGCATTGTTTTCTTAATATTGAAAGTAAACCGCAGTTGCCTTTTAAGACAGTTTTAAATGCGGCGCCATCACACAAAGTTTTTGCAGATGCTAGAAAGTGGTTTCGTGAAGGCTGGGTTCAGGGTATGAATGAACTGTGAAAAGTTGTATATTTATACGATTGTATCCTTACCTTGTGTTGGTGAGCAAGATGCGAGGATGTGTATAGAAATGGGGTATTAGTAGCTTTTTACGTAATGGAGGATTATGATAGATTTTGTGAAACAAACACAAACTAGAAAGTTCTCCATGTGGTGCAAGATTAGGCAGGCTCAAAATCGATTTCATAGATGTTACACTGGCAGTGCAATGATACTAAGTATGAAGCAAAAAGATATATCTTGAATTGCTTCAACAACAAATGCTAATATGTCAGTTTAAAAAAAAAAAAAAAGAAATTGGGTTATGTGTATGTTTATACAGCCAAGAACTTAGTCTGCCTCAACGGGCAACTTGTCGCCCAGCTCTAGGTGAGCAATTTAGCCTGTGCAGTACAACGGCTAGCCGGGGGTCTTTAACGTGCATCACGCAGTAGTGATACGCGACCGCACGCCGGTACGATGCTCATCCAGATTGAAACGGGCAGGGGTGTGGATCGAACCCAGGATCCCTGGGTTGTGCAGTGCGAGCTTTCGCTCCAGTGTCAGTTTTTAAGGTTTTATGGCCTCTGCTAAAACCCTACGAAGGACAAAGAGAGGCTTAACGATCAGTCGCTTTGGTCCCCCTCGGGCACTCAAAATTTCCCCAGGATTTTTAGAGCAATAGCTGCTTTTGGGAATCTCCCTGGGGAATTCCGGGGTTCTCCTCCGCAAAAACTCCCGGTGATGTCGTCAGCTACATCATCAATCGCGTGATCACTGCCAGCCGTTGCACTTGGGACTCGCTGCTGCACTCGCCACCGCCGTCGCTGTAGTCGGCACCCTGTTGTGCCGGGGCATGCGCACGACCATCCAAAACTACTCTCCTCCTCCGGCGCTCGCTGTTGAGGTCGGGGGAAACAATAGCGTGTGGTTGCATTTGGCGGGTAAATGAGTGCTCGAGGTGCTTAAAGAACAGACGAAACTTGAACGCTGTGTGGATAAACCTCGGAAAAACCAGTGCGGGTCCGAAGAATGTGACTCTCAGTTGCGGGACGCTGCTTTTGCTGCAACACACATTGTGCGTTAGCGTAAACGCACTCCTGTTTTTTCCTCTCCCGCTCGTGGCCTCCACAGCACTGTGGCAAACTTCTCACATAGGGCATAATGCAACCATGGCCTCCGAGATTTTTGGCACATAAAGGTCTCCTCCACCCCTTCCAATTTACAAATATTAATTTCCCCAGGAGAGGGAGCTTACGCCAGAGCTCAGAGCCAGCATCTAAAAGGTGTGGCGCTCCGTGATTTCACGATGTGCCAGTCTCCCTGTCTTTGTGCTCGGGGGGGGAGGGGGGTTCGGGAGACCCGTGGAAATAGCTAATTCACATCTACTCGAGTAAGATATCCATCTCTGCCATAGAGGTTAGTGCTGCCAACTGCACTCATCTGTTCCCATTTCTACATACTTTTATTGGGGTCCATTTGCTGGATCTATTATTCGGGACGTTTTTCCGGTCCCTGTGAATTCCGAAAAATCGCTTGGCGACCATACCTACAAAAAAGACAAGAAATGTGAAGAAAATATTTTGGAAAATTTAGGCTCTGAGCAGAGGTGTGACAATTTCGAGGAAGGCAACACAACCAAAGCTGGCTCAGAGTCTCTTTTGTTGTTTTCTCTCCGATTGTAATGCATGCGTAAGCGAGAGCCAACACTGGTGACAGTGGTCCATGACTGCCTGGGGCTCTGATGTGCAGGCGTTTGAGGAGAAGCTGGGGCCTGGACCGGACGGCAAGCAGGTGACGGAGAAGAAGAAGAAGGAGCTCTTCCGCAAGCTCATCTCCCCCATCATCGGGGTGAGGGGACTTCTTTCAAACTGGAGATGCTCTAACCTCGGTCACGTTCTTATCGAGCACCCCGCTTTTTTAAAAAAAAAATGTTCTCCAATTCTTGGGGGGCGAAAAAAATTGCATCGTTTCTTCTGGATCATTTGAGCGAGTGTTCCTTCGCGAAATACAAAACGCAAAGGCGTCAACCACTGAAATCAAAACTTCCGCCGAGAATGTAAGGAAGGCCAGGTATGACTTCTCTGTTTTTCCTAGCACGATGCTTTCTCTACTCTTTTCCCAAAATATTTCAATTAATATATTTTCACGAAAAATTTCACAAATGCTCCTAAAAGCCATCAAAACTGGAGCTTCTAACCCCAAGCGCGAGAGATGCAATGTCGTGCTCGGACTTGGCCCACAAGAGACGGTGTGCCTTTTAGTTTGCCGCCAGTCAGATTGGCCGATTGACCGTTTGGAATCACTAATGGGTCAAGTGATCTTAGGATTAGAACTTGGTGTGAGGACTGCTCGAGGTGCTTACACTATGTGTCTCCTCAAACGGGTCCTTTTTGTGCTTGTGTCGCTGCAGAAAAACATAGGGCAGCAGTTCAAGGCAGCTATCGAGATCATGAACCTGCCTCCCATCTTCAAGCCACTCAAGATGATGGTGGAGATCGACGACAGCTCAGCCGTGGACAGCCTGCCCGCACTCTTTGCTCGCGATGAGACGTGACGGGCCTGCCTTCTCGCCTCTGAAGGGAACACATTCTTAGTTCTGTATAAGATTACCTTTCTTTCGTTTGTCAGTGAAAAGTTTGTTCCGGCTCAACTGCACATGTGCAAGTGAGTGGAGTTGCATCATTCGGGTTTTTATTAATTGTGCGTTTCGCTCCAGTCTGATGGCCCGCTCACACTGGAAACGGATCTGCAACCGCGAAGTGCACATGAAGCGAAGCAGACGTGCAACCGCGAAGGGGAAGGGGGGGGGGGGGGGGGGGGGGGAAGGTAGGGAGGGAGGGCTGAGATGACTGGGACGTCCGCGGCGTGTGGGCGGTGCGAAATGCCTGTGTGTCAGGGTATGTGCGAAGTGCATGCGTATGTTCTTGGGTCGGCTGGATTTCTGAAGTGAGGGCCGAAGCTCCATAAGCCGCTCATGCCGCGCACAGCAATATCGCGAAAGATGCCCCACCCACGAAAGATAACCCACCCCTATTTTTGGCTCAATTTGCTATAGGAGCTTGTGTCGCAGAAAATCTGACGTAGGTGGGACCAAAAGATCCCATAATTCAATGCCCGCAGCCACGTGTGTTACACGAGGCTGCACGGGTTGCATTATGGGATTTACCCATTAATTTGGCGAGAAAATTTTCCCGCCAAATTTAGCAGGAAAATGTTCCTGCCAAATTTAGCGCAAAATTTCTCGCTATATTTGTGGGGAGTAATTTTTTTGCTAGCTTCGGTGGGAAATTTTGTAGCTAAATCTCGAGAAAATTTTTCCGCCATATTTAGCAGGTAAATTCCATAATGCAACGCTTGCAGCCACGTGTGACATCACATGACACAAGACGCTACCGACCAGGCCACACGCACACTCTTGGATGGCTTGGCAACGAGCATGCATTTATATGAGAAGGCTTTACAAATGGGACCCGATAACGCTATCACATTCCACTCTTAAAGGCAAAGCTTAAAGCCGGTCGTCATCTTTAGAAAATGTGTCCTATAAAAACGTGTGCTGCCATCTCTATGCAGTGCCGCAAACTAAACTGAACGAGCCTGAGCTGTTCAAAACAGCCAAGGGGTAAGGTAGGGTGCGCGGACGAGATACATTTGTCCTAAATGGTTTTGGGACAGCTTTAGGTAGACGAGCTAGGCTTGTCCAGAACGGTTAAAAGGTTAAACACCAAAAGATGGCCCACTCATAGTAATCGTAGTGTTCGAATCAATGATGGCCTCGGTGTAAATGCGGTGATACCTATCGGGATATTGCGGTATGCCACTGTACCACACTATCGCGGAGCGGGCATGGTGCCCAAAACAGCTGCGATAGCTTGACTCTTGACGTTTCTGCCACCAAAAGGACTAAAGGGCACCTACTCAAATAATAAAACATACCTACCACATGATATACAGGTGATCCGTACGGCATTTATTTTAGCTTAATGTCAAACAGACAGCGGACAAGAGGTAAGTCCAGCGACCAAACCACGATCAGCTAGCACCGAACCCGCACCACCAATGCTGCTCACTACCCCGAAAATGGAAAAGCGAATGACGAGGGGGAAAAACTGGCCCTTTTTTTCTGAAAAGGAGGTCAGCTATTCATTAGGGAAGGGTCCATTTGAAAGAAAAGGGGCATCCTCCTCTATTCTGTACACGGAGGCCATGATTCAGCAGGACGTGCCTACCTGGGCTTTGCTTCTGGGTGAGCTCGGAGGAAGTACCAGTGCGGTTTTGTGTGCCCATGTCTCTTCTGCCGCTGCCCAAACTCGGGATGCGTGCAAAGAGCACCAAAATAGCGAAATTTTGTCTTTTGATCATAGAGTAAACTAGTTTTGGATTGTAAAACAAGGTTGCCAAACGCTGGTCCAGAAAGATCACACATTATCGCCAAGAAACCGCCAATCGCATCTTGGTGCATTCGAACGGGGTCGCTTGTGAACCTCATTTACAAGCACTTAGGAAAGGCAGCTCAACTGCTAGTGTGAACGTGCCATTAGTGTTTCCCAAACGAATTAAACCCAAGATTGGGTTTAATTCGTACAAAAGCAAAGCCTTGCATCTATGAGATAACATTGCAATTTCAGTGTAAAAAACTTAAGTGTGTGTGTGTGTTTTTGAATTATGAGCTTGAGATATACGCTACCTCGATGTATGTAATTTCTTTATGGTAGCTCACCTCAATATGGATTACAAAACAATCGTAAGGCAATGTCCATAAATAATTGATTGTGAGGTAGAGGAGAAAATGGGAGGCTGAATTTTAGACGGTCGAGTTATACCTCTGTGGGACAGGCACCTAAACGGAGCTTTACGCCAAAGGCCTTTAGGATTTTCAAATAACCTTTAAGCTCTGCCTTGGCTGACAGTGCAAGTGAATGTCACTTAGACAGTGTTTACAGCGATTGAAGTCTCTCAGCTCGTTCAAACGCATAAATCACATTCACGCGAAAAAAACAATATTTTGGCGATGTAAATATTTTTTAAGTTTTTCTTAAGAAAAAAAAATATTGAAAAAGACAAAATAATGAGTTCACTCGATTGATTACAACAAAGTCCACTTTCATGCAAAGTGTTTTTTTGTCAATTAGCGGCAACCCTGAGCATCTCCCGCTCACTCAGTCCTGACGTTGTTCAGTGCTCCCGCTCCTTTCTGTGCTTCTGCTACGCTTTCGCTCGGCCCTGTTCGGTTCGGTGTCGTGCTCACGCTTGAGTTTCATCGCACGCGTCGGAGGTCCTCCAGCCGATCCTCCCAAAGTCATATCGGCGCTCAGGTCGCCTCAACTCTCCAATGGAAGCGTAGCAACCCCTTCCTAGTCATGGACGCTCCTCCGTCGTTCGACATATCGCTTGACGCGAGAGTGAGATACAGAAATATATATGTTTAAAAAACAGTTAACAATACACTATTAAAGGATGATAAAATATAAAGTAGAGAGATAAAAGCTAGATAGCTACGGTTGTAAGAAAAAAATCAAGAGGAAGAAAACCGAGGTGCCGAAGTGGACAGTGTGAGCAGCTGGACAACGAGGCCTACTAGATAGCTGGGGCCTTGAGTACAGAAAACTATACGCCTCGCAAGTGGGCACATTTTCGTCTTCTGCGCATGAGAAAGGAAGTAGCAGTGACGTCAGAACGCCGAGCCCTGATTGGCTGATCGTGACCCCCTATCTCAGCGTCGTCTGCTCCTTTGCAACGTCGTCTGCGTCTCTCTTAACTTCCCTGCAACTTTCAAGAGAGGGCAGACGAAATAACCCGAGCGGTACGTTGTTTTTGTCTAACAACTAGCAAACTCGCATCAAGAAGGGAAGTCAAAGGACTCACTGGCGAGGTGTCCCGAGGCGCCGAGGTTTGTTTGCTAAGAACCGAGAGGTGAGGGTGGTTAGTGTCCGGAAGTTCCCTCCCAAATACTTTTCCCTTCCTTTCGTGTGCGGCGAGACTCCTCACTCTTTAACGGCGTCGGCAGGTTGACGCAGTTAACGTCGTCTGCTTTACGTCTGCTAGTCAAAGCGATGGCTGCTTTACCTTTCCTGCGTCTGTCGGAGATTCACCGCTTTTTTTACCAGCGAGAGTCATTGTTGCCTCGGAAAACAAGGAGATGACAAGAGGAAGAGATTGGCCTCTTAATCTAAAATTGAGGTCAGCGATCAAAGTATAAGACGGGAAGGGTTCACAAGGGTCGCTCGGGCATATTCCATTCAGCACGCCAGCCGGTCGTGGGCAGACGGTCGCCGAGTCGGAGTGCGTGCTAGGCCTATCTGCCGTGCTCGCTTGGTCGTTGTCTGTGGAATCGTGGTTGTTGGAGCTTTTCCTGGGTGTTTGTGGATCCAGCGTTCTTGTTCGTCGTGGTCTGTTTCAAGTACTTTTTACTTTTTTCTTGCTGCTTGAAGTCGGGACGCGTGAGAAGCGCACGTAGGAAAATAAATGTCCGTTAGTTGTCGCGACCGCGACGCTGTCGGCCATGCTGATTTGATCGTAAGAAGTGCGTAAGACAGCTTCGGAGCTGTCGTAGGATTTTATCGTAACCTGCGCAAAACTTACGAAAATTTCGTTTCGTGAATACGAATTTGTTCTCAAGTTTTGTCTTGCGCATATTTTTGGCGTAAGATCGTTTTGTGAACCTGGCCTCTGCACTTTCGAAAGTCGCAGGAAAGGTAAGACAGACACAAACGACGTTGCGAGCAGACGACGTTGCAAAGGAGCAGACGACGCTGCAAAGGAGAAGACGACGCTCAGATAGGGCGTCGCGATCAGCCAATCAGGGTTCGGCGTTCTGACGTCACCGATACCCCCTGCGCAAGGAGCAGACGAACTTGCCCTCCACATTGGTAGAGGGGGGTCTGTACAGAGTATATGTGAAAGACACTCTTTTTCAATAATAAACATACCGAAACATTGATTTAAAATATCAGTACAATCTTTATTTTAATTCACTTCTCTAGTGTAGACCGCTGCTGACGACAGTAAGCAGCGGTCAACACTGCTTACTAGACTGCCGTGTAGACCGCTGCTGAAGAGAGTTCACGAAAAGGACCTTTGCGCTAAATGCCATGCGAGTTGCCGTGTGGCACTGCTTAAATGACATTTCCACTAAAGGTCCTTTTAGGTGCCCGTCTGACAGGTATTACCCCACGTTAGAAGGCAGACAGTGTTAAGACTTCTCTCATGGTGGCTAATTACATGTCATTGTCTGATGTCCTGGTTGTGTCAAAAAGCATTTGTCACACTCCAGTCAGTGGAATGAGGCACCGAATGTGCAGGCATAGGATACAACGAATATTGCTGAACACAAAGAAAGTATGCCTTTTTTAATTGTAACCCTATTGTTGACGCTACCACCACTGTTTCCTTTTGCATGTCCCTGGCCGCTCCTGTGATCTGCATAAAAGGCACTGCAACAATGCGGAGGCATTAGCACGTAAGGTTGAGCAGACAATTTTTGTTATAAATGTTTAGGTTTTGTGAGATTTGCGAGGCAGCAAGATTTATTTCAAACTCGGGATCGTAGTAACATAGTGTCATCCATTGGACTATGTGAGTTCATTTTGTGCAGTGTGGAATGGAA